GCGCGCTTAAGCGCCCTGCTGCCCCTGCGAGAGACATTGCTTTCTGCCGTCGCGGGCTTTAGCGCCCAAAATGGGGGCTTTAGCGCCCAGGTAGCGCGCTTAAGCGCCCTGGTTCGCGCTTAAGCGCCCTTAGCGACTAAAAACGATTTTTCTCTCTGCCGGTGGGCGCTTTAGCGCCCGATAGCGCGCTTAAGCGCGCGCGGCCTGTGTCCAATATAAACATGTATTGTTATAATTGTCATAACTTGAGCTACAAAGCTCAAAATAAGAAGCGGTTCGAAACCATGCGTAGCTAATAAAGAGAGGAAGACATTTAACAACCTCTGGTCTAATATAATAAAAGTATGATGTTAAGCTTAATTTATTTTATTCCGCAATGTAATATGGTTATGATCACGCAATTGGGCATTACAAATTCGGCATGTTTTAAAAAGAAAAATTTAATCGGATTTTAATTGAACCCATGTGATTGTAACTGCGCTTAATATCATAATGTGATGTTAACAAACCGGTTCTAGAACGGGGTGTTACATTTTATGGTATCAGAGCAGTTTCTTAGGGAAACTTGTGGACTATTGTTATATCTGCTTGGTGTTTGATGTAACGCCCCGTTCTAGAACCGGTTTGTTAACATCGCATTATGATATTAAGCGCAGTTACAATCACATGGGTTCAATTAAAATCCGGTTAAATTTTTCATTTTAAAACATGCCGAATTTATAATGCCCAATTGCGTGATCATAACCATATTACTTTGCGGAATCAGATAAACCAAGCTTAACATCATGTTCTTATTCCATTTTTAAACCATTAATTTACTTCTTATTTATTTCCCAACTTCTACTATATTGTAGATCTCTTCGTTAGCTACGCGTGGTTTCAAACCGCTCCTCATTTGGAGCTCTGTAGCTCAAGTTATGACAATTTTACTAACTCAGGTATATGCTGAAAAACTACGCGGGCAGGGCGCTTAAGCGCGCTCCAGGGCGCTTAAGCGCCCACAGACAGAGGGAATTCACATTTTTTGGCCACCAAGGGCACTTAAGCTCGCTCCAGGGCGCTTAAGCGCGCTACCTGGGCGCTTAAGCCCCCATTTTGGGCGCTAAAGCCCCAGGCGGCAGAAAGCTTTTGGTCTTCACAGGTGCATCAGGGCGCTTAAGCCCCCTCATGGGCGCTTAAGCCCCCTGAGCAGGCTTAAGCCTCCATTTGCAGGCTTAAGCCCCCTCTTCTGGGCAATTTCCTATACTCATATTTTTCATGTATCTTTCTTGGGGAATCAATCCTACACATTTTACAACCTATTTAACAAGCTTGCGATATCCCTATATCATTGCTTAACTCTCATCCTCTCATCATTGATTTAACGGAAATTGGGCAGCATAACCTTTGTTTTCTCAACGTTTCCCAATCTAACAACTTAGCTCCTAATAGACAATTCAGCTCAACATTTCCAATATTCATCATGCATTCATAACCTTGAAGTAAATAACATTACACAAGTTTAATTACATAACGAGGAACTTAGCTACAAAAGGCTATGACCATCCCTTGGCTCTCATCAACAAAAGAGATATCCAATGGCATGATCATAGGCTAAGTCCATCAAATATAACGAGATATACATACGTCAATGCTATCAATGATCAACCCTATACATGTAAATCTACAAAATAACATGTATGATCTCAAAACATCATTTTCTTCATGCATGATCTACTGCGAAGAAGGCCACTTGCCATCAGAGACTCCTGCAGCTTCCTTACCTGAAAGGGGGTCCCCATAACACGGGGTGAGATATACGAATATATCACAGTAAACCAGAGGTCCTTGGAGATCACCCCACCCTAAGGTTCACTTTCGATGTACACATAATCATAATAGCTTAACACATTCTTATCAACAAATATCACATGGACTTCCAAGAGAGATCCACTAAGGGTTGTTTCTCTTAGGCTCTTACCACATGGAGATCCACATAGAGCTGTTTCCAAGGGAAGTCCTTTCCTCAATCTAGGAACCTCCAAGAGGGATCCACATAGGGTTGTTCCTCTTAGGCTCTAACCACATGGAGATCCACATAGGGCTGTTTCCAAGGGAAGTTCCTACCAATCATCCTCATCATAATACTATCACTCATAACCTCAATCACAATCCTCAACCATTACCTCATTCATTATTGCTACTTCTATAACCATTCCTCAATTACTCTTAAACAATCAAACATCAACCAATAATCATCAATCAATCATAACATGTATCAATGCATGAATCAATGCATGAGCATACAATCACAATCATAATTACATATCACATCTCATAAACCATTTCTCCTCCATGGAGTATGGTGGAACACTCAATGAGATCAACCCCAAGGTCCAAAGGTTTACCTTGCTCTTGAGCTTTCCTCAATGGCACACAACCCCAAGGGTTGGTCACTCCACTTGGTCTTCTTGCCTAAATCCTATCAACACAAGGAATACAATCAAACAATGCTAACAATGCAAGGAAATCCATATTTCCAAGCCTAGATTTATCCAAACATCAAAGCATACTAAAATAACACTATAAACTCATTTCTACCGATTAAATGTTATTCCTAGCATTTTTCACAACATACTCTAAGCCTCATTCTTCCTTGAACATAACCAATCTACTCAACATTTCATAAAAACCCTAAAACACTATTCATTAAACCCTAACCATGAAATTTTCCAAGAAAACAAGGTTCAACGGTTAGAATCTTACCACCAATGGTCACACAACCAAGGATTGATGGCTCCTCAAGCTTCAATGGAGGTTGAAGCTCCCAAAACCCCAAAATCTCACAAAGGGCTGAATTTTTGAGGGGCAATATCCCTCTCCACAATGCTCCCCACTTAAAACTAAGCTTGGATTATGAAAGAGGAGAAGATTTAGAGTGGTTTAGGCTTTTGAACGGATGAATTTGGTTGAGGATTGCTCCACCTAGGGTTCTCCCTCTCCTTTCCTCTTCCTTTTCCCCCTCTTCTCCTTCTTCTCTTCTTTTCCTCTCTTCTGCACGACGGGTTGGGGAGGGACAATTGGGTTTCTTTTGTTGCATTGGTCACTTAACTTATGTTAAGTGACTTTAAGCGGGTATTGGTTCGTCTATCTATTCAACTCCATTAATTACCAAACTTTACCCAAAAGTCTGGAATATTATTCTAGGAATATTACTATTTTTATTTTTATATTTTGGGTACTTTTGTCTACACCCATTTATACCCCTTAATTTTCACTGAGTACACTTTTTAACTCCAAGTGACTCAGATTCATTTAATTAAGCCTTATATTTAATTTTACTCACTAAAACATGCTTAATTATTTAATTAAAATTAATCAATTAAATGCTTAAGTTTGGGGTATTATATTTGATGCTTTATAGTTGTTTTAGTACTCTTTATGATTATTACATGTGTGATCACTAAGTGTGGGTCTGATCAACTCATTTCTTTGTGTAACATGTGTAGTGACATGACGAGAAATCGAAACAACCCTGGATCATCGAATACCAATGCTCAGCCAGAACCTGTTTTGGCTGCTTTAGTTAGGCCCCGAAGTGGTCGTGGGCCAACAGTTGGACAGTCTGATCCTGTTGCGGTCACTATGGAAGATATGCAAAGGGAACTGGCTGCTAGTCGACAGGCTAATGAAACCTTGATGAAAACTAATGAAGATGCTCGGACTGGCATGGCCGCGAAGATGAACGAGTTGAGGACGTTAAGGGGTGTTAGACCTGCAAACCGGCAACCCACTCCTCCTCCTCACACTGCCACGCCTTCTCCACCTCCTTTACAGGAAGAGGGTGTAGCGGGTAACAATGAGGGTGAGGGTAGTCACCATTCTGGAAGTCATAGTCATCACCGAGGTTCGTCAACCACGCGTAGAGCATGTTGATGAACACGAAGCGGAAGAAAGGAGATTGATGGCTTTTCAAAAACACAAACCTCCTTCTTTTAAGGGAGGATATGAACCAATGGCGGCAGCAAAATGGCTCCAGGCTATAGAGAAAATCTTCAGGGTGATGAGATGCCATGAAGCAAGGAAGTTGGTCTACTCCGTGTATATGCTAGAAGAGAAAGCTGAGGATTGGTGGACCAATATAGTGCAACCCTTAGAAGCTGAAGGCCGGGAAATCACCTGGCCGTTGTTCGAGACGTTGTTCTTGGATAACTACTTCCCTAGGGAGGCTAGGGAACAGAAGCAGAATGAGTACAATGATCTAAAGCAAGGGTCGATGTCAATTGACCAATATTTTGCTAAATTCAATGAATTGGTGAAGTACACCAACTATGGGAGAGCCTTACCTACTCCAGCTGAGATGACCTCCAAGTTCCGATGGGGCCTGAATGAGAAGATGTCTCGGAAGATGTCAAATTGTGACATCCGAGAGTTTAGCAGATTTGTGAATCAGTGCCGAAAGGTAGAAGAAGTATACAATGTGTCCAAGACCAAGAAGCCTTCTGAGACCCAAGCACCGAATGCTAAAAAAAAAAGCTTAAAAAAAGAAGCTAAAAGCTGTTTGAAAATTACATAAAAATTTTGGCTTAAAAATTACTTAAAAGCACATATTTCAAGAAAATTATCTCTCTCTACCTTTATCACTCTTCATTTAAAAAAAAAAGCACATAATTCAAGAAAAACAGATAAGAGCTTAAAAAAGGAGCTTTTAGTTTTCAACTTTTTTTTTTCATTATAAAAAAGAGAGCTTTTCGTTATAAGAGCTTTTCCAAAACTTGTTTGGCCTAGCTTATGCTTATAAATAGCTTCTAGCTTAAAAAAGAAAGGATCCAAACAGACACTAAGATTATTTAAGACTAATTAACACTTGGTAATATCAAGAGAGTTGCATTTGAGATTAACATTTAAGAAAGTAAAATAATGACCGGACACGCCATTGCATGTTTGGAGACTTTTGACTCCTCTCTTTATTCCTATAATGTATATAATAGTGTCAGGCTCTAATTTCTTGTCCCAAATATTCACCGGAAGATGATAGATATAGGGATGCTAACAGAGTATTTTTCTGACACCCACTTGAGAGACCCCTGAGCAAACGTGTGATTGCCTCTATTCTCTTTGTCTTCAGGAGAAAACCCAACCGAGTATGTAAACTTCTGGTTCACCTCTGTGAATGTTATCTGATCAGAGCTTACACTCATACCTACTGCCAAAGGCACGTCAATTTCCAGAGAGTAAGTTGAGTTGGCGGGTCCAACATTTGTCAGCGTTCTGGTGTAGAACTGTGAAGTGTTCCCCAATTGAATAGAAAATGAAGGATAATTGAGCTGTGCTTCCGTTATGCTTTTTACCTCAGAGCATTTCACTTTCTGTTGCAAAATAAGAGAAACTTGTCTGTCAGTGTAACCCAAACCACATAAATAAGGAATGTAATCATCTGGTTGGATATCATAAACAAGGCCTGGATCGTTTGCTTTGGAAGGGTTAACATGTCCAGCACCAGTAGCAAATACATCAGCTGGTAGAAGCCTTTGGTCCAATATAGGTTTCCCTCCAAGGTTTACAACATCAGCACTTGTCATGATTGCTGACTTTATAGCAGCAGGGGACCAATCTGGATGAGAGTTTTTCAACAAAGCAGCAATGCCACTTAGATGAGGACAAGACATTGAGGTACCTGAAATCATGTTGAATGGTGGTTCATTGTTGTCCAAAGATACAGGCCATGCAGCTAGAATGTTCAATCCCGGTCCAATTATGTCCGGTTTCAGAATTCCTGGGCTTGCTCTGCTTGGACCTCTAGAAGAAAAGGAAGCAACCACAGGTGCAAGTGGGTCTCCAATAACAGTTCCTTTGAATAAGATTGTGGCTGTTGGTGTTAGAGTTGAATTTATATAACCTTTGATGGCTAATCCAGCACTGTGACTTACGTGTACAGCAGGAAGGACATGAACATCAGCAAAGGTATTAAAGTCTTCAATTTCACTGCTCATGAGAATCATGGCCACACCACCAGCATTCTTAACTTCTTTCCCTTTGGCTATTCTTGCAATGAGTCCACCTTGCTCGCAAAGCACTACCTTTCCCTTAACATCCGAGTTTCGTAAGGATCCAGGTGCACATAAGGCAGAGGAACCATTCCCAATTGCACCTGCATCAACAAGAGGCAATAACGTGGGTGCAAAGTCTTTGGGTTGGAACACTGATTCACCATCATATTCTTCCCCATCCCCAAGTCTCGCTGTTGCTAATATTTTTCTGTCAGTGGAGCTTGCACCAACGGTGAGAATCCATGGAGCCTCATTGGACAATGTGTTATAATCAGGACCTCCGTTACCGGCTGAACAACTAACGAAAATTCCCTTCTGAATTGCACCAAAAGCACCCAATGCAATAATATCTTCAAAAAAAGGTAGAGAGGATCCACCAAGGGACAGAGAAAGAACATCCACACCATCTTCAATGGCAGTGTCCATTCCAGCTAATATTGCACTTTCAGGACAACCCTTAATGTTGCAAACCTTGTAAACTGCCAAGTGTGCATCGGGTGCCATGCCAGCTGCAGTACCGTTAGCATTGCCAAAGATATTAGCACCTTGTACGAATCTTCCAGCGGCTGTGGCGGCTGTGTGAGTTCCATGACCAACATCATCAAATGGAAGGGTTGAATTCCTTGAGTGTTGGAGAAAATTCCTTGCGCCGAGGAGCTTGTTATTGCAAGTCTTCTGCCCAGTGAATTCACAGTGGCCATTCCATTTTGCTGGTGGAAATGGCATTCCTTCATCGGAAAAGGAAGGATGTGCTGGGGATATCCCAGTGTCCACAATTCCAATTATGATCCCTTTGCCACGGTTGGAATCTTTCCATAATCCTTGTCCCTGTTGCAACCCCAAGAAGCTTGGAGTGTGAGTTGTATGTAAAGAGAGTATCTTTTCAGGCCGGGCTGACACAATCTCCTCCTTGTCTTCCAGAGCTTTAGCTTCTTTTGGGGTTAATTTCACTGCGAATCCATCAATCACATTTTTGTATGAGAAAATAATGCGCTGCTTGTTCAGACTTTTTGTACCATCTGTTGGCAGAAGTGAATGGTACCAGCTATGCAAATCCTCAGATTCAAGAGAAAATAATCCATCCTGAGGCTTTTTAACGTGAACAATGTAAGTTAATAAGCTTCTCTGATCTTCGAGTTTCTCCTTTGCTTCTCCGAATTCTAGATTTTGGTGTGCTGAAGTATGTTGAACACTTAGCATGAAAATAAGGCCAAGTTTCCATGCAAGTTCCACCTTGGTTTTGTTGGTCATGTTTGCAGAAGAAATAGAAAATCACTAGTTCTTAGATTGCTAGTAACTGGACATACCATGCAGTTTTATACATTGCGGAATGAAGAATAGGGACATGGGTGTTAACGATGGCTGTGGGGAATTACAATATTGAAAGGCCGTCCTAAACAATGCTAAGGTACATATCAATTATCAAGTAAATTAAAGCAGTTGCATGGTGATGCCCGCTATTGGTTTGTCTGGTCGTCAATCCCGGTGGCATTAGACACAAAGTCCATACTTGTGTCTAATATATTTATGTACAACAAGATTAATGTAAATAATTCCAATTTCAAATTACAGTCCATACTCTAACACTCCTTTGCCTTGGTTTATTAAAATTTATTTAGAGTTAGAAGTTAGTGGTGCCGTTCAATCTAAAACAAATAAAGTAGAAAAAAGAAAGTTTCACTGTTTTGGTTTTATTCAGACAATAGTATATTAATCCAAAAAAGGATTACAATTGAAAGGTTGTCACGAATCAGCAGTCATCAACTATACGTCAATTCTAAATTAAATGATGAACTTTAAGCAGATGATAATATTTTGGACAGAATTTTGCTTATAATTAGCTGTCTTGTTTTTTGGTAGAAACTATGCCGTATAAAAAAAAAAAAAAAATTCTGTAGAACTATGCCGGATAATTTTGATCTATAATTACTTTGCCTTGACTTTTAAATTTATATTAAGAGAAACTATTCATTAATTGGGCAATAATTCAGAAATATGGTTACTTTACTTAGGCTAATTAAATATAAAATTAAGAATAATTTGTAGCTTAAATGTTTTGTAGTTGATTCCATTTTCTGCAGCTATAATCTTGAGGTTCCTGGAACCTGTAGAATAAGAAAAACGACGGAAGAAGTTCTGATGCTATATTCCAACATTAACTTGAATCTGTGCTTGTGGTTTATGCTGACTTTCTATACTGAATTTATCATAAGGCTTAAACATATTCAAACATTCTCTCGTAAAAATCTCAATAAATAAGATTGTAAAGAAGTAATTCAACACAAAAGCTTAAGATGTATTAGGTATAGCATATCTGTATTAAGAAATTTCACAATATTTAATTATTTTTATTAATAGAATGGAGTTGTGAGAATTGAATTCGTGACAACTTGGCCACTAAAACTCTGATACCATATAAAAAATCAATTTAATCTAAAAATTTAAATTGTCACATTGACTATCTTAATAATTTTATATTTCTCTAACAAAATTTTTAAAACTATCAACTTTCTTGCTAGTCTTTCTTTTTTTCCTTTCTTTCTTGCTCTAATTTGAGATTTAGAAAGATTTAATCCTGATGGATATAAATCATGAGATAATGGAGGAGGCTCGTGTGCATTCTCATTGCTAATGTCTCTTAAAACTTTTTTTTAACCACTGCCTTTTTGTCAGATATGCGACTATGGAAAGTTACTTATTGGCCAAGAATATTAAAAGTTACGCTCCTAGTTAAAAACGACCTTTATGGATATACGTATCATTGGGAAAATCTCAATTTTAAACAAATTCCTATTCTATAATTTCTATGTGGTATGTTCACATATAAAGCTTCAGCCTCCATGGCTTAAGAAAGATTTAGACAAACATTTGGATAAGATCTGAGGAGTGAGGGCAGACATTTGAACAAAAACTATACAGAAAACATTCCCTGATTGTAAAGAACCTTGAGGTCACCACCCCAAAAGCTAGCTTTTGGGGTGGTGTATTCCAAGGTTGTTTACACTGATTCACATTACCAAATAAGAAGTGCTGGTACAGTTCAAACAAACTGAGATCTTATTGTAACAAATTAATTACTATAGTGAACTTCTACAGAGTGAAGTAACCCATTAGAGTAGCTCTTGAATTTTTGGAGACATTTGATCCTCTTCTTTATTCTTTTTTTTTTTTGGGAGACATCTCTTCTTTATTCTTGAGTACGTATCATCACACTCTGGCTTCATGCATGTAGGTATGTATCACTTGAAAATGACAGATATGGGGATCCTAACAGCGTATTTGTCAGATGACCATGTGAGAGAACCCTGAGCGAAACTGTGGTTGCCTCTATTTCCTTTGCTTTCTGGGATAAACCCCACTGTGTACGTAACCTTCTGGTTCACCTCGGTGAATGTTATCTGACCAGGGCTTACGCTTATACCTAACGCCAAAGGTACATCGATATTCACGGTGTAAGTTATATTTGCAGGTCCAACGTTTGTCAACGTTCTGGTGAAGAACTGTGAATCAGACCCCATTAAAATAGAAAATGAGGGATAATTGAGTTGTGCTTCAGGTATGCTTGTTATGTTGGAGCATGTGACTTTCCTTTGCACAATAACAGAAATTTCTCTGTCACTGTAATGCAAACCACACAAATAAGGAATGTAATCCTCTGGCTGGAGATCATAGATAAGGCCTGGATCATTTGCTTTGTTTGGGTTAACATGGCCAGCACCAGTGGCAAATATGTCAGCAGGTAGATTCCTCTGGTCAAGTATGGGCTTGCCTCCAAGGTTGACTGTATAAGCAGTGGTCATGATTGCTGATTTTATGGCAGCTGGGGACCAATCAGGGTGTGAACTTTTGAGCAAAGCAGCAATGCCACTGAGGTGAGGGCAAGACATTGAAGTTCCTGAAACAATGTTATAAGCTGGGATTTTGTTGTCTACTGACACACCCCATGCAGCTAGAATGTTCATTCCAGGTCCAATAATGTCAGGTTTTAGAATTCCGGGGCTTTCCAAGTTTGGACCCCTGGAAGAAAATGCAGTAACTGCAGGAGCAAGTGGATCCCCAATTACAGTTCCTTTGAATAAGATTGTTGCGGTTGGTGCCAAGGTTGAGTTTATGTATGCTTTGATAGCCAAACCAGCAGCATAACTCACATGCACAGAAGGCAGAACAACAGGAATAGCAAAGGTATTGAAGCCAAAGTTTTCTTGGTTGGTGAGGATCATGCCCGCACCACCAGCATTCAGAACTTCTTGTGCTTTCGAAGTAAATAGACTTTCTCCACCTACATCGCATAACACTATCTTTCCCTTGACATCAACGTTCTTTAAGGATCCTGGGTCACAGAAGGCAGCATCAGAGTTGTTTCCAAATGCACCAGCATACGCAAGTGGCAAAAATCTCTGAGAAAAGCCTTCGGGTTGAATTAGCGATTCCCCTTCATATTCTAACCCGTTTCCAAGCTTTGCGGATGCTGCTATTTTTCTGTCAATGGTGCTTGCACCAACGGTGAGGATCCATGGGGCCTCATTTGACAGAGTGAGGTAGTCAGGGCCAGAGTTTGCAGCTGAGCAACTCACGAAAATTCCCTTCTGAATGGCAGCAAATGCACCAATTGCAATTGGATCAACATAGAATGGAGAAGAGGGTAAACCGAGGGACAGAGAAAGAACATCCACGCCATCATCAATGGCTATGTCCATTGCAGCTAAGATAGCACTTTCAGGGCACCCCACTTTGTCATTGCATACTTTGTACATTGCTAAGTGTGCATTAGGTGCCATGCCAGCTGCTGTGCCCAGAGCCTCGCCAAAAACACTGGCGTTCAATACAAATCTTCCAGCAGCCTCTGCAGATGTGTGTGTTCCATGGAAGAAATCCTCAAGAGGAAGATCATTAGTTGCGTTTTTTACTAGATTTCTTGCACCAATGAGTTTGTTGTTGCATGTTCTATTCCCAGTGAATTCACAGTGGCCTTTCCATTTTGCTGGTGGAGGTGGCATTCCTTCACCGTTAAAGGATGGATGGGAAGGGTCTATACCTGTGTCTATAAGCCCAATTATGATGCCTTCGCCAAAATTGGAAGCATTCCATAATCCTAGTTCCGGTCGCAGCCCCAAGAAGCCTGGACTATGAGTTGTGTGTAATGTAAGGGTCCTTTCGGGTCGGGCTGACACAACCTCATCTTTCTCTTGCATGGCTTTGGCTTCTTCTGGGGTCAACTTCGCTGCAAATGCAGAGGCCACATTGCGGTAAGTGAAAACCATTCGTTCCTTGTTGGGTTTTTCATAAGTTTGTGGCAGGAATGAGTGGTACCAGTTATGCAACTCTTCTTCTGATTGAAGAGAAAATATACTCTCGTGCTTTTTGACATGAACTATGTAAGTCAACAAGCTGTCTTGCGCTTGGATTTCCTCTACTTGTTCTTCGGCCATTGAAGTTGAGTTGACGCAAAGAATGAAGATGAGACCAAGAAGCAATACTAGGTCCATCCCATTCTTGCTTTTTTTCTCCATGATTGGAATTTGCTAAACAAAGAGAAAGTTGATTGGGCTTGGGATTGCTTGTATTGGCCTAATGCCGTGCATGTATCTATATATATACAGTGGAAAACAAAAAGGGTGTGATTAACAACGCGTAGTTGCATAGTTTTACCACTTGGGAAACAAGAACATGCAACTTGCCGGTCTCGGACGGCTTATTCTAACTGCATTAAGTACGTTCATCGGTACATATAATACGGGTAACAAAAGGTAAATGTACCATGCGAGCTTTTCTATGTTGATTTGTACGGACATGGTCCGGTGTTGATAGGGACAGAGTACACTATACATCTATGTTCTAGAATATTTATTCTTGGACGTTTGTTAGAGGAAAAAATCTTTTTATCCGATTTTCAAAAATATTGTGGAAGAATGAATTTTCTGAATATGTTAGGTAGGACAAAATATCCGAAAGCGTTGGGTTAATTTTCTTGATGTTGGTTGTGTTAAATTTTCCCTTGTTATGAAAATCTTAGAATATCACCTCCTCGGTGGTATATTCTTGGATGGTTTTTTCAAAAAAAAATTACACACAAAATAAAATTTTAAAAAAATCAAATTTTCGAAATTTTTTTAAAAATCTCATACCAAACGTGTGTAAATATGATTACCAATCTCAGTTTCCCTCGAATCCTAAAAAAATCTCCTAACAAACATCCGGTGTTAGCTCGTGGGACGAGAGAAAAAAAATAATTTCTCCAAATGTCACACATGGTGGAAGGACCACTACTATGGCATTGAACCACTCAAAATATTTCTCAGTCGTATAAGTTCTACGTCATAAAAGACAAGTTTTGTTTTAGGAAAAAATGTTTGTCTTTTAAAATGACACAACTTATATCATTTCACTCATATCTACATTTTTATTTTGTCCACTCTCTCTCTCTCATGATCTATTTCTTTCTCTCACTTAACATAATACAATTTTACATCCTTTAAAATTACACGCACTTTTCCCTTTGTTTAAGTATAAAAACTTTAGGAAAAAAAATACTTGTTCTTTTAAATGACACAACTTTTATCATTTTACTCTCACACAAAAATGAGATTGACAACTTTTTTTTTTGTCCACTCTTTTTTCCCGCAATTTATCTCTTCCTCTCACTTCAAATAATATAACTTTACAAATCACATATATTTTTCCCAAAAACTTAATAAACCACGAACCATACGGATAAAGGATTACATATTTACATGGTTATTCTAGCTTAGGTTTCGAAGCAACCATGTTAAAAAAATTTAAAAAAATATATACTTATGATTTTGCGCGACTCAACCAGACTAATCCATTAATTGACCGGTGGAGAAATAAAAAGTTTTCAAAAAAGATTGGGCAGAGCAAAAGCAGCGAGCAAACGGTGGACATTCCGGCGACCCCGGCAATGGCACGCATTGGCCATCGAAACCTACTTGTCTCGAATATGTTGACGGCAGCGATCATTGCATCACGGTACCTCTCCTACATGGGTGTCCTCCTTCTAAAGAAGTACCTCCTCAGCTTCTACGATTACCGTTACCCCATCTTTCCGACAATGCTTCACATGTTGTCCTGTTCTGCTTACAGTTAGGGGGCCATCAATTTCTTTGAACTGATTCCATTTCAGCACATTCACTCCAAGAAACAGTTTATAATTAGATCTTTGCTTTGAGTGCAATCTTTTGCTTCTCTGTAGTTTGCGGGAACACTTAACTGAGGTACCTACCGGTTTCTTTCAACCAAGCCATTGGAGCCACTACATAGTTCTTCACAGCTGTTTTTGTTTTTCTTTATCACTTGCAAGAAAGAGTCTTGTGAGGTTTACTTTGCATTCTTGCCGGTGGTTTTGGGGAGTGTTCTTGTCAGCAACAGTAGTGAACCTTTGTTCCATTTGTTTGGGTTCTTGGTTTGTGTTTGTTCCGCTGCGGGACGTGGCTCTAATGGCAGCACTCGTATTGCTTCCTTTCACTCTCTACATTGAAGAAAATGTGGCATCCCTTACGCTTGAGAAGGCCAGAGGTGATAGGGTTTATCATTTTCTTGTTGGTTGGGAACGCAACTGTTGCTTATTTGGTGAACCTTTCGAATTTCTTGGTCACCAAACACACCAGCGCGTTGACATTGCAAGTGTTCGAAATTGCCAAGGCTGCTGTGGCAGCTGTAGTTTCAGTTTTGATATTCACGAATCCTCTAACAGTGATGGGCATAGTTGAATTCGCCGTTACAATAATGGGTGTGGTGCTCTACGGCGAGGCTAGGAAAAGATCCAAAGTTACAGTAATTGGACTGTATTTGAAAAAGGGGGAAAGTTTACTATGCAGTGATACTTGAAAAATTCTCACATGTTGTATCGGACACTTTCCAAGAGGTATTGCACATACTTAAAAAAAAAAAAAAAATGGTTCAAATATTACGTATTCTGACATGTTGTATCAGACACTTTTCAACATACATGGTAGAAATTCAAAAAAATGGTTCAAATGTTGTGTTGTGTTACATTTTTAGTTCCAACTAATAGATTTGTCGGATCGCGATTATCATTTCATTAAATTTAATATAAATATTTGTGATGTCTTTTATTTTTTTGTAAAATTGATGGGTATTATAAGTTTAACTCTATTTTTTTTGTTAAATTATTGAATATTAAATATAATGTACACTATATAAATTAAAAACATTATTTAATATCAAAACATGTCCTAACATGTCGAAATCTAACGTTTTTTAAAATTAACGTGATGGAGTGTCATGTCATGTCATATCCCATATCAGTGTTGGTGCAATATAGGGGGAAGGGGAAAAGCATTAGGTCTATTTTTTTTTTTGTTAAATCATTAAATATTAAATATGATATATAATATATAAATTAAAAATATTATTTAATATCAAAACATGTCCTAAAATGTTGAAATCTAATGCTTTTTAAATTAACGTGGTGGAGTGTCATGTCATATCTCATGTCAGTGTTGATGCAATATAAGGGGAAGGGGAAAGGGGTTAGGTCCATTCGACTGTGTTAATTTTTTTTTTTTTCTTAAACCTGTTTTGTAGAATAGTTATAGAAATAAGTGTTTTCTGTATTTATTTATTTTTTTAAAAGTTAAAAGTCAAAACACAAAATAAAAATAATTCAAACATATTGTCTAAATTTGATTCTAAAAATAAAAAAATAGTTTTAATTTTAATTTTTTTTTTAACAAAACATGACTTGTCAAAAAAATTATTTTTAGAAACAGTATTTAAACACCGCGTTATGCTTCTTCTTTTTTTTGTTTTATTTTTTAAAGCTTTTCCTTTTTTTTTAGCGCTTTAATATCCTCCTTGGTAGGGGTAGAGAAGATAATTCTGTTTTTTAGCGCTGCAATTTGACAACATAGATACGTGATTCAAAGATGAATAACTTATATGGAGAAAAATTCTCCTTCATTTCATTTTATCAATTGTGATATTTAATTTTGGTATTAATTCATTTTTTAAAAGTATTTTCAAATTAATACGGTCAATTTGTTGACCATATGGGACAAATCTAGTACGCCAACAGTGCAATCAAGTTGAGTTTGTTTTTCTTAGCATTATCACAAGAGACAATGGACAAGAAACCAGGACTCAAAAAAACTCGGAGCACGTTATATTTATAAACTTTTTTGTTTACAAACTCTTACAAACTATACTATATTCTCTCGGAAGAATACAAATTTTTACAAACTACACTATGTTCTCCCGGGAAAACACAGTGTAAATTGTAAAAGAATTCAAAAAAGTTTGTAAACGGATCCTGTACTAAAAAACTCATCTCATTTGCACTAATACATATGTATATATGTAATAGAAATGCGAGTTAGAGGATGTTACATCTATTATATAAAAAGCAGTAAAGATAGCTTAAGGGTTATACACTTGCCTTTTAACGATTTTATTATTGGAATGGGGTCTGGGGTAGTTTGTACAAGATACAAGTGATGCTGTTAGACCTTAGTATGCTAACTTCTGTTCTAACAAAGCAATTTTCTAAGATTCTGTGTACAGTAAAAGAATCATCTGAGAAGAGTTGTTAGGCGCCTGTCAGATTAGCAAGGAAATTTCAACTTCAACTTAGCAAGGAAATTTCAGATGTCCATAACAAAAGCTTGTTGCACATTGACCCTCGTTTGTAGTCGCTGTCACCGAATTCCCAAGCTCCTGGACCATTTCAGTTGAGAACCGAAAATATAACTAATCAAATTTACCAAAAATGAAGAGCAGTAGAGCCAATTATGCATACCAATATAACTAATCAAATTTACCAAAAACGAAGAGCAGTAGAGCCAATTATGCATACCTCCTTGCACTCAACATAGTACTACTGGCTTCAGTGATGCAACCGTCAATCCCACTATGAATTTGCTTTCCCCCAAATATGAAAGGCTTTTCCTACATCATTTGTGTCAGCTAGAAGATGAATATTTAACGTCTATTTAATGTGGTAGAATAGTATTCAAAATTAAACGGGGGAAAAAACAACCAATATGAAAATCGTAGGCTAAATATAAATCATATTCTTAAGGTAGTGCTATTATTACCTTTCGGTCGAGATGAACAGAACTTCCTATATTTTCTTTTGAATCCTTGCACCCATAAACAAATAACTTAGGATGATACTAAGAGAAATGAAAATAATCCAAGATCGTTACATTCAATTCAAAATCATAGAAGGAAAACCTTTCTGTACACCCTGGAATGCCGAGGCAGTTTCAACTGGGATCCATCATTTGACTGGACTTCAGATGTTAAGGACAGCTGCTAACATTTCAAAGAAAGGAGAATGACTTAGAATTGTGGAATCAGTATATTTATCAAAACTAAATATGTACGGAGCAAGAAAAAGACTAGCACGAATTCACCTTGTTAAAGAGTTCAATTGGTGGGTTATGCTGAACCCTCTTTTCAGTATGGAAATTAAATTCCTGTATGAATTGAAGCAAGATGTGATATCGATATATTTTTCTTTCCAGACGAATATTAAAGGGTAAAAAACAGACGAAACAACTCACTGTTGGCACGGTGTTCTCCTGCTTTCTGTTCCAGAAAACACCAATATCTCCTTTACTTGAAAGTATCTGCACAGGCACTTTACAGTTGCTAGTTCAGCAGATCAAACAAATAACTGGGAAATGAAAGGTAGAACCAACAGGATACAGACAGCAGAAGGAAAATGAAAAATTGTAATAGAAATTCATCTGAACTTCCACCCTTTTATTGACATCCTTCAACAATCAAACTACTTTTATACATATTTACAATTCCTTTATATTAAAGAAAAGAAATTATCCACCAATTAGAATAGCCAATATCATTTAACAGATAATACTTTCGTTCACAATATTTTACTTACATTGACTTTAAGATTAAGTACAATAACTTGAGTTCTACATAAAGTTTTCTTAACGAACTGTTTCAGAAATAATTTCATGCTAATCCTAGATTGGGTCATAAAAACAAAATATCTTCTAAGATTTCATAGACTTGTATATGATAGTGTTTTTCAAATAAAATTTGAATGCAAATATAAAAGAATAACAAGTGAAACCGAAAATATTACTGAGCACCGAAATGTTGCATACTAAACAGTAATTTTAAGATGCAACTTCCTGACAACTAACCGGTTAGTGAATGTAATATAACATCGACCTAACCATATCTCACAAGGTGAGGTTGGCTCTACATGGACTAGTCCAACACCATTGGACTCTATCAAAAACCATTTTATTTAGAAAAACAATTTGTGGGATTAAAGAATAATAATGAACAAAAATACAAAAGAAAAAACCTGGTGGTGAAAATATATTGTTTCTTTGGTTATTAAATTTCATCTTTAATTATGTTTTTTAATTCCAGACACGGATAGCAATTATATAATATTATAATTATAACAATTTTCATATTTTCATTAAACACTGGTAAAACTGCTGTCCAGGTATCTTCTTCTAAAATTCATTAATAATGTCTCATTACCTTCTTATTAAGAGGCCGAGCTTTAAAATTATTGTCAAAATCCAACCCATCATGCTTTGGAGCACTCATGGCAGATGGCCTATGCAAAGAGAGTATTTTGAAGTTAGTACCATTGTTTCATGATTTATCGAGTTAGAATTAGCATTTATCCATGGTATTTGTTACCTTCTCAGATCCCTGATTCTATTTTCTGTAGCAGAAACAGCTTTCTGTTTGTCCAAATCCTGCAAGCAGTAAGCATCAGTTTCCCGTAGACTAATCCTATCTATCTTGTAACAGGAGACTAAAGCAAGTAAATGCAGGTCAATAATAAGATATTGCCGGTTCAGGAATTTCATAACCAATGCATTTCATATGAACTGGGTATAAGAACATTGAATGACATTGATAATACACGATGATGTAAAGAAACATCAATCTTGCAACTAAAAATTGTATGAACTAAATTAACCTTATCAGAATCATTGCAATGAAGTGAAGATGATGAAGTAGCAGATGTGTGCTGCATGGCCCTCTCCCATGTCTTGAGGTGAAATTCCTGAGAAGCAAGATGAGCTTGAAGCTAAATAATGCAGAAGAAACTAGTTTGCCTGATTAATGGTTGGTTCAATTCTTTTCCACTTGTAACAATTGATGTGTTAGGGAAGTGTATCATTATGTCTAGGTTCAATGTTTTCAGCATATGCTTCTCTTTTCTCTCTCTCAAAAATGGTGATAAAACTAGATGAATTATGAAAGCAAGTACGAAGAGCTTACTTGAAAATCTGGCATGCGTGGGGTGCTCCTCTTAGGAAGTGGTAATGTAGGAGCATTAAGAATCTTCATTATGAGCATGATTAGTTAGAGGAGATGATGGAAAGATACACCAAAATATACTTAACAAAACCAATTCTATCCACAGCAAGTACTAACTTTTCTGTTCAACGGGTGTGCTTTGAATCTGGGAGCAGCCACTGTCACATGTTCTGCCTCTGCAGTATTTTTGGGTCTGGAAAGAACACAATAATATCTTGACTTTAACTATGTGAGGAAGAAAAATCATCATCGTCAATATTTCACTGAACACCACAATAACAAACCTAATCCTTTGTGCTCTATGAGCTGTTTCTAGCTCTGGCTCTCTAGGAATAGTAATCTTCAGCTTGGAATGTCCAGAGTTTTGATCAACAGTTACAACCTGAAACAATATACAAATTTACAGAGCGCCAGCATGTGAACCTCTTTCCTGTTGCTCAAGAAATACGACCCTTTGCCCAAAGGAATTTAACTGCTCTTGCTATTCTACAAACCCCAACTAGTTTGGGATTAAGGTGATGTTGATGTTGTTGATGCTATTCCAATTTGTAACTTAGATAATCAATAGAGAGCACTCTTTATTTAATAAATTTCCACTCATAACAGAGTTGTATCAGGAAAACGATAAGGATAGAATTTTATGTCTTCTGTTTACAAAATCAAATAGGGAAAGAAAATAATGAATGACAAAAAATGGGCAAAAATATATATAGGACACAATATGAGCATCATAGCCTTCTGCATTAGTATTCATACCTTCTTTGGTGCCTTGTGGACCAAATTGGCTTGTTGCTTCACATCACCAACCTGTCATAGAGAAGATATGATAAGTATTTCAAATGCCCTGTCTAAAATAAATGGAATGCCAACAGCAGTTAAGACACTTTAAATTCCCTGTTCATGATTCAAGTACTTCCATGCCACCCAGCCAAACATGGGGCCAAATTTAATTCTAACAATCTATAATTTATTAAATTGTTAACCACTATCGGCTAAGCTCTCACAACTTCCTTAAGAGCATTTTTTATACATAAAAATGGAACACAATCTTAACATTATATTCATAAGAACGGAATATTAGCAACTTACTGGGAGTTGCACAAAATTTTACAACACCAAATGTTCAATTTTAAGATCAATTTCCGCCATATATCTAAGCAGTTCAAGCAAGCAAACAAAACAGCCATTTAGGTAATTACTAGATGATCAGAGGAAGAATAATGGTCCAATTCACAGACCTTCCGCAAGAGACCACCCTCTAATTTCTGCCGCTTGGCAGCTTGGCTTTCTGTCCCAGAATAGGTAGTTAAATTCATTTCCTTGTGATGAGCTTGTAGCTTCTGAAACCTGAGAACAACAGAAGAGTTGCAGATGATATAACGAAATAGAGTTTTTTTGACATCCGCGGATTAGAAAGCTAGATAATTGCTGCCATATAACATCACAGCATCAAAGAGAAAAACTAGGGAATAAATGAAGAAATATTCCTGCAGCCCTAATAGTTCATGTCTTTTGAACCATGACAAGACAAAAGGACAAGTTTCTCCAATAATCACCTTGAGTCAAAAATTCGAGGGGCCCGATTTTGCTTTGCCAATTGACTAGCTGTAGGTTTCATCAGTGTTGAACCCTTCATCATAGCAGGCTTAGCCTTAGAATTCAAATTGCCACTGATTGTCTTACTGCTAAATGTCATTCCTGGAACGAGACATAAATTCAAGTCAAGCTCATACAGATAATAAAAAAAAATGCTGATATAGAGAGAGGGAAAAGGGGTGAGATTGGTTACCTGTAGTTAATTGTAACGGTCGCGTAGCAAAATCTTGATGAACTCCACCCAGCAAACCAGAGATGTTCCCACTCCGAAATGGAAGATTAGATTTGGCATCATTAACGGAAGTTGCGCATTCTGGATTTTCAAATTCTGGAAAGGCGCTAACACTAACACCGTCCTCTCTCTTAACTAGCTTTGCCACAAAAGCTGAAATGGAGGAGCAAGAATAATAATAACAGTTACCAAACAAATGTGCATTAATGAAAGAAAAGAACGAAAAGAAAAGAAAAGAAAGGGTTGAACGAACGAGAAGGAGGGTAGCTTCCGGCGGTTTCAAACCAAACTTCGGATTGGCGAGCTTGAGCAGGAGTTTCTTGTGAACTGAAATCGAAGAAGCGAGCTGCATCAAACTCGTAATCCAGGTCAATCTCGTGAGCAACAAACACCTGATTCTCTATTTCCATATCTTCCTCCTCCACCATCATCATCGTCATCATCACCACCGTCACTTCTTACCACCAAGATGGGTTTTGATTCAAATGCCAAATCCCATCATTATTTTTATTTATTTTGAATAATATGTATATTTTTGGTGCCTTCAGTTTCATGTAACGGAAGTGACCCCAGTGCCAAGTCCTTCTTGAAGTATTTAGTTCTGTTTTACTTTTGACGATTATTTACAATTAATATTAGATATTATATTACACTAAATAATAAAATAGGAACCTAATAAATTAATTACCATTAATAAAATATCATCGGTTTTCTCATTCTGTTTGTCTTGTTGCGCCAGGACCTGTGTGAGGCAGGCATTAGTGCGTAACGACTAACGATCCAAAATTTGAATTTTATTGGCAGTCTATTGGACCGATTTACCCTTCGGATGCTGCTGGCATTCCATTGGATGCTTTGGGCTTTGTTTCGTGCTGTCACTGACTCACTGTTCACATCATGTCCAATGTCCATCATACTGCAAACTGCAATTTCGGCGCCTCCTCGTTTACCTTTCGCTATCCATTGAATTGCGAAATTCTCCTTAACGGTTCTATTCTTCTTACTCTGTCACGCTCCCTTGGGCTTGGGCTTGATCTCTTTAGCACATGGGTCCAATTCACAGCTGGGCTTGTAACACGCGGAATTGAAAGAAAAGTCTGGTGCCCCGACCAATGTGTTCCTTTTTAATTTTATTTATTTTATGATGATAAATTATCTGTGAAAAAGTGTTGCATTCATTACATATTTTCCAAAGATTTCACAAATTTTTTCAAAATCTGTTGACATTTTCTAAAAGAAAAATTAATTTTAATTTAACAGAATGACTACTTAATAAAGAGCATTCTAAAAAAATGAGAAAATTAGTTGTAATAAACGAATAAGATTGATAATAGACACTCCCCTTATGGCTTATAGAGTTAGGGAATTTTGTTGAAACTCAATATGGTAGATGCACGTTGAAGAAAAATCAAGGTATAACTATATTTCGAAAAAAGAAACACTAATGAAAAACCGTATAACTATAATTGGACCAATTGTTTCTTTGGCATATTTTTTTTTTATTAAAAGCTACTTTAAAGTTCAAAAAAAAAAAAATAGTTATAAACCCTAACTCAGGATTAGTATAATAATCGGCTCAAAAAATTGAAGCTTGTGGAATTATCCGAGAGATCTAATTGCTTTAAAGAGATAATTACGGTTAGTATACCCAAAAAAAAAATTAAAAAATAAAGCTAAAAGTTATTTGATGATTATATAAAGCCGTTATAAGAGTTTTGAATAAGAGAAAATAATTTATTATTATAATGAATTACTAGGGTAAAGAGTATAATTGATAAATACAAATTTAAAATAAAAGTTAAATTATAAAATAAATATGAGAACTCTAAAAAATTAATATATATATTAAAAATAAAAATAAACATTGGTTGCAGCATACAAGAAGAATTGCCAAAAAAACTCTTCTATAATAAGAACTTTTGTAAAAATATATTTGACTAAGCTTGCGCGAGAAACAAAAAATAACACTTCACAAACGGGCACCAAGTGATCGTAGACTCGTAGCCTAAAGATCATTCGCAGAATTTTGCAGGATTTAATAGATATGAAGTTGGAAATGAATAACAGGCAGTTTTTGTTTTCCCCTTTAACACACGTGAAACTATAGAATAAACAAATGCCTTTTATTGCAAAATTGCAAATGTTATAAGAAGAAATAATGGTAATATAAAAATGAATGCAAAAGAATTTATGTCCTTTGCTCTTTTTTTGGGTATTGAATGCCTAAGTAATTTAACAAATTTCTTCCATGGATGCTCTATCTGGTACCTCCTTTCCTGGAATAATTTAGCAAATAAAGCAATTACTTTGATACTGAGTTCCATGGAAAAACTCTAATTGGTTAATGTGATTCCAATCCATTTGTAATGGACTTAAGGACTTGGACAACCTCAGCCATGCTTGGTCTCCTTAAAGGATCCTCCAAAGTACAAATGAGTCCCAATCTCATAACCTGAATTAATTCATTCTCAGCAAAGCCAATTAAATTTCTGTCAAAGCAATTTGAAGCTGAGCCAGTCTCCAATAAACCTCTTACATATTCACACAAAACCACCACCTCATTTGTGGTTGGACTTTCTACAGGCTTCCTCCCTGTAACAAGCTCCAAAAGAATGACCCCAAAACTGTAAACATCACACTTCTCACTCTGTCTCATGCTTTGAGCCAACTCTGGTGCAACGTATCCAACTGCATTATGGAACTTGGTCAGACCGTAATTATCCAATATGGGAAGTAACTTTCCTAGCCCATAATCAGACAACTTAGCTTCATAATTGTCATCTAAAAGTATGTTAGAGGATTTAAGGTTTAGATGAAGAATTGGAGGTCGACAGTCATGGTGGAGATAGGCAAGGGCTCTTGCTGTTCCAACTGCAATTTGGAACCTTCTAGACCAAAACAATTCCCTATTGCCTCTACTGGTGCTGGTTCCAGGATAGCCAAGCCCATGTAGATTATCATAGAGATTCCCGTTTGGTACAAACTCTGATAGAATCAACTGCATTGAAGAGGACCAATAGTAACCTTGAAAAGCAACTAAATTAGGGTGTTGAAGGTTGCCTAGTCTCCCAATTTCAACCTCAAATTCCTCCTGGTTTTTTATCCTTCCCAAAGTCTCAAGCTTCTTCACTGCAATTGAGATGCCACCTTCAAAATCAGTTTTGTAGACTGTGCCGATGGATCCGCCACCAATCAAAGACTCTTTGTCAAGCAATGCTTTGGTACCTGCCTCCCAATCTTCATATTTTGATGGTAAACTTTTGCTGAAGAGTACCAGCTTTCCAATTATAACATTTGATTCTGATGATCCAGGAGGTGTGCTCTCAACAATCATAACCTGATCATCATCTTTTTTTCTACGACGAGCCCTAATATTCATGATGGTCACCAAACAAACCCCAGTTAGAATTACAGCTGCAGCAACAATTGCAACAATTGCAGACACACTTAGAACTTTAGTCTTCCCAGGAGCTGAAGGTGATCTAGTTCCGTTTGCTGAGCAAGAGGTGTCCAAAGGAACACCACAGAGAAAAGGATTATTGGAAAAGGCAGATGCACCAAAACGCTGTATGGTTGCAATATTAGGAATGACACCGGAGAGATTGTTGAATGAGAGATCAAAATGTGTCAATTTTTGCAAATTTCCAAGGGAAGGAGGGATTGAACCAGAAAGTGAATTATGTGACAGATCTAGGTATTGGATCCTTGATAGGTTTCCTAGGCTTGGTGGGATGCTTCCATTAAGCTGGTTATGATGTAGATCAAGGGCTTCCAGGTTTGTCATTTTGTAAAGGGTCTGAGGAATCTCGCCCTCTAAGTTATTACCAGAAACATCCCTGCAGCAATACAAAAGAATGAACTCAGATTTGATTCAGAGGGTTCAAGTTAATAATGTACAGCAATTTGAGAAAGTTACAGAACTCACAGCTCAAGAAGAAACTTGCAATTGCTTATATCAACTGGAATTCCGCCAGTGAGGTTTAGATTGTGCAAATCCAGCAATTCAAGTAGCTCAATGTTGCCAAAACCCTTGGGAATCATTCCACTTATGGAATTATTACCCAATTTGATAACCAATAGTCCTCGCAATTCCTGAATATCAACTGGGATACTCCCTTCCAGCCTATTCAACTCCAAGGCCAAGAGCTTTAGGCTCTTGCATCTAGTTATGCTGGAGGGAATCTCCCCATCCAAATTATTTCCCGAAGCATCAAAGATTTCTAATTTCTCACTACAGGTAGTGTTCTCAGGAATTTGTCCTTCAAACCCATTATACGATATATTGAAATAGGTAAGATTTTGCATTCCAAAGATGCTGAATGGGGCCAAATCGGTGAATCTATTACTACCAAAATCCAAATGTGTCAGACTTTGGCATGCCGAAATGTGCTCTTGCACACTCCCTGATAAGGCATTGCTTCTCAAAGATACATATGATAACCTAGGAATATCACAAAGTCGAGAAGGGACAACCCCATTCAGATTGTTGAAGGAAAAATCAAATCCTTCGAGGTTGGAGCAATTCACCAACGAGTCAGGAATTGGACCAACAAGATTGTTATGAGAAAGAGAAACGAACTTGGTTTTGTAACAGTACCTAAACAATGCTGAAGGTATCCCCCCAGTGAAGCCATTCTTTGATAAATCTAGAAAGCGAATGCTAGGCAAATCACCTATGAACTCAGGGATTGAACCAGATAACGCATTGGAGCTCAAATTGATCTTCCACAACGAGTGAAGATCAGCATATCCTTCTGGGAAATTACCGGAGAAGCGATTCCCAAACAATGTCAATATCCTCAACCTCTTCAACCCCGACAATGCTGGGGACAAAACCCCACCCAAGCTAGTGTTCCAAAGGACGATTCTTTCTACAAATCCTTCCAAGTTACAAGAAACACCGATGTAATCTTGGCAAGGGTTTCGACTTGAAACCCACGAACTCAAGCTGTTGCGGGGATCATCCGTGATGTTACCCTTGAATTGAAGTAAAATCTCCTTCTCAGTTGCCGGTGAGACCGTGACAACAGACCAAAGCAAACACAGGATGGCACACAACAGAGCATGAGAGAGATGAATTTGACTGTGTCTTCTCATGCTCGAAACAATGTGATCACCCCTCAGGCATCATCGCTGGCAGAACTAAAATCAGTTAACAATGTTTGAGGTTTTTGTAAATGTCGGTCCAATGAGAAACAAAACATCACGGTCATCACAAACTGAGAGCATTCTCATTAAGGGACAAGGCTTGAAGGAGAGAGAAAGAAAAAATAAATAAATTATGGGTTTAACATTTACTCAAGTAAAGTTCTGTAAAACAAAGTACCAGTACAATCTCTACTTCTTCTCCTTCCGAGTTCTCCGTCAAGCATCAAGATCGAAGATTCCAGAATGTCCTATGTGGCTGTGCCTCTGTGGGTGTGGGTGTGGGTGTGGGTGTGTTTTAATTTTTAATGATTTGGCTTTTGTGGGGCTGAAATGGGAGCATAAAAATCGGAGCTTGAAGTTGTTGGAAATGAATGGGGGGGAGTAATTGTAATAAAAATGAAGATGGTGGAAATGGTGGCTGTACCTTTGCTGGAAAGGAAACAGGTGAGACAGTGAGAGGCAATTAAATAAACTTCTTTTAATAGGTTGTGATGCATAAATTCAGAGATCGCCACCAACTGAAGGCTGAACCACGTGCATGATATGAAAGAGCCCCTTCTCTCTCTATCTAAGTCCTTTTTGAGGAAATGATACCCTTTAACAATGCAAAATCCAATCTGTTTCTGTGAGTTGAAGTTACTGGATATTTTTCTTAGGATATTCATATTGTTGGGTTGTTTTACTTTATTTAGTGGATGTTGTTATGGGTAGTTATTACTTTCAACTATTTTTTTATTTAAATTTTTATTGTGAGAAATAAAAAATAATCAATCAAAGAAGAATTGATTTTTTTTATTACAATATATGCTTGAAGCAGAGTTCATTAGTTGAACTCAATTTCCCAATTTTTTTCCAAAAGAGGTTTTACCTATTACTTACTCTCTCACCATCACTACGTCCTGGGTTGTGTTAGTGTAGGCCATGTTTCTCTAGCACGGAATTTATTCTTCCCCAACCACCACAGTCACTGTCATCTCTCTCAATTAGTATGCAAGAGAACAAAGGTAAATAGGTTAGGAATACAGAAAAGAAAAGAATAGAAGAAACAAGAGGAGGAGAGAGGAAAAGAAAGAGTTAAGAAGAGTGTTTTTGTTTGTCTGTAGTACCGTTTTCTGGCTAAGGTTTGCTTTATGCTATCTATCCGTTTCATTAGCGACACTTTAACGCTGGTTGGAATTAGTCGTAATTAACAGTTGATTACTTAATCATCTGCAGTAGCTAACAAAAGAAAAATAGTCACATCAACAAAACATGTATAAATGCACTTGATAAGTTGGGTTTTATTAATTAACCTTAATTAGTTTCAATTCTTAAGGACCATGAAAGATAATTTTTAGAAAAAGCTTCTAATTGACCAAATGTTGCAGTTTGAAAAAAATAAAATAGAGAAGTATTGCTAAGTTAGTAGTTAGAGTAATATTATATTTTCTTAACGGATCTTTTTAATTTTACATCACTTAAAAAATTCAATGTCTTAACAATATTTGATATTTTTAAGTCATTAGAAATTATTAACAAATTTTTTATTAGAATATTCTAACAGTTAACACAAACCACACCACAATGATGAACAGTGACCAATGTACTACACATTGTCATTTTTTATCAATAAGTCACGCGAACAGTAATATTTGTCAAAATGACACGTGCCCGAGTTCGCTATAGCAGAAAGCAAACTCGATTTGCTGATGTAACATGTTTTTTGTGGTTATCCAATTCTCTACTAGGTGACAGTTAATATCCCTCTGCTCTGACAAAAACATAACATGAGTCAGTGTCACAAAACTTCGCTAGGGATAATAGCGAACTAAATAAAATTAGCTGTTGAAATATGTGTCTGACACACACAAGTTCGCTACACTAAGTAGTGAACTATGTGCAACCTATAAAAATATTTACTTCTAATAACTTATAAGGGGGTGTTTGGTAGGAGCTTTTTTCTCATGTCTGACACACACAAGTTCGCTACACTAAGTAGTGAACTATGTGCAACCTATAAAAATATTTGCTTCTAATAACCTATAAGGAGGTGTTTGGTAGGAGCTTTTTTCTCATGATACTCAGGCATTTCATAATGGTATTTCAAGTTGTTCATATTTGGTACAAGTTTTTAAAAAATTCACCCAGTAAACTGATTTGCCCATCATTTCTTGTTTCTTTTAAAATTGTGATGAAAAACATTGTTTAAGAATACCACGTCGAAGGTGGTATTTTGAGATTATTGGCAAAATGGAAAAAGAAGCGTGATGTAGATGACGAAAATAACCATCTTCTAACCATATTTGCAATATTATTTAGTTAAGAGTTACTTTCATAATTTCACCCCATTTTCCCAGCAATATTTTACATTCAACCAAACATAGACTCAGAAAACTTAAATCAATTTCCCCAGTAATATTTTGGTCTATCAAAAAACTTTTTTCTAACTTTCCTATAAAACTTATCTTCCTACCATATTCCCAGTAATTGTAATTCCCTGATAAAAAAAAGTTTTTCCTCTGCCAAACATCCAAGGACCTTCTAACATATTGCTTTTGCAGAGTTGATGCTGAGTAAACTGACAAGTATGATGCTATTGTACTGTTTGGACTTTTATTTTTTCCGTACTGTTTGGACTTTTCTAAACACCCAGCCAAAAATCCTTCCCATCAACTGAATTTTGAGTAGACTATGTATTTGAATCAATTTTTAAAATAATTATTTTTGTAAATTTTGGTAATTTTTTAATATAAGTAATTATTTTTTAAAAACAAATATACACGGAGTATAGAAAAGAATTATCTCATTTTTTATCTTGATATAATTATTTCTTATGAAAATGATCTCAATCAATCATATGGCAAATCAATAATAATGACCATTTTCTTTTTTCTTGAGCCACCTCTATTTGAAAGGCACAGCTACACAGCCTCGTCACTCAAACATAATAAAGCCTCCCATGTCTACATAATCACCTTGTAGCCATATAACAACATAATAGCATCATCCTTTTCAATTTCTTTGTTTGGAGAGAGGTAGAAAAAATAAAAAGATGCAAGGCAAAATTGAGAATGACTATGTTTTCAATCTGAAGGGCCAAAACAGTCCACCAGAACAACTCTTCTTCTCGAAGCACCTCCAACAAAAGCTTTTGGCAATTCTCCTCTGTGCACTTCAAAAATGCAGTGTCATTTTGTTCACGGCATCTTTGGATGTTTGCAATTTTACTGATAACATTATTCTTCTTATTCTCAATGTTGCCAAACATTCCTATTCCATATTCTTAATTCTGGCACCAACCTTTGAAGCATAGAGGATGACTGTGTTATAACAAAAGAAAACAGAGAATAAAAATAAAAATAGAGTGTGAAGTGCTGGAAACTTGTGAGGTATATGCACTTTTTGATGAGTAGGGTTTAGTGTTTGAAGATATAGGGGCATTCTTTCTCCTCAGCAGCAACTCTTGCAAAAGCAACATGACCTAAGGTCTTTTATAGGTTATTAGAAGTAAACATTTTTACAAGTGGCATGTAGTTCGCCTCTTAGTGTAGGGAATTTGCGTGTGTCACCACATATTTGAGCGGCTAATTTTATTTAGTTCGATTTTCGCTTAGCGAACTTTAGGGACACTGCACATATTCTGCTTTTGTCAAGAGAAGAAAGATATTAATTCTCACTTAGTTTGCTACACCCAATAACAAATTAAATAATCACCAAATATATGTCACATCAACAAATTAAGTTCATTTTTTGCTATGATAAATTTGAATACGTGACATTTTGACAAATATTACTATTCGTGTTACATGTTGATAAAAAAATTGACAATATGTGATACATTTGTCAGACTTCCCCCACAATGAGGAATAAATTTTTGCTACTACTGCTGTATCAAAGATTCAGTACATCCCATCAACAAAAATATTACATGTCAGTTAATTTTATTTTATTTTCTGTCAAATTTTTTCTCTCTCTTCTGATGTGTATTGCTCTCATTGATGAAATGTACTGAATCTTGATACAGTAGTACCAAAGATTTATTCCACAATGAGACGGTGAAAGGCGGAGCCCATAATGCATAGGTGACAGATATTTGCCACGCGGCATTCACTTTGTGGTGTTAGGTGATTTTTGGCCATCGATTTAAAAAAAAAAGTTATTTTATTTTTCTTTTTTGGTTTTTCAGTTTTCTGAAAAGTCCTTCTCTTTACCGTTACTTCCTTTTGTTCAAATCTGTCCTTTTGCATTTGACTAATGAAGAGGGGCCAGACTCATTCACTTAAGTTCTGGAATTTTCCTTTTTCTTTTTATTTTTTTTAAGAGGAATCTTTTTTCATTCTTACTCAATACGGTTAAAATGAACAATTTTGACACACAACACTCAAGCATACATGTTATTCTATTTATTTTTTTCATATCTATATTGTTTATCAATCTCCACATCGTGAGATCAAAATTTTAAAGAAAAACAAATATAAATAAAATAATATATTCTTATAAATAAATAAAGGGTAATAGTTTTCTCATGTAGTAGGAGATAAATATTATCTCCTACAGACTCATATGTGCAGGTAGGGTCCACTTTCAGGAGGAGAGAGAAAAAGAATAAAGTGGAACCCAAATTGAATTTGTGTGTGTAGGAGATAAATTCTACCTTATGTGACATAAGAATAATAAATCTCATAAATAAATACATAAACATCTCGAAAAGGTTTCTCGTTTGCCACGTTGGCACGTTTTGACTGCCGTGTTTGGAAAGGCATATATTTAATGCTTTTTCTATCTAATGATAACAAAAATCATGTCTGGCATATTTCATTAGTGGTCCTTACACTCCAATTCTTCTCTCTCTTTTGTTTTTGCATAGGCAGCCCAGCCTCTGATCTTATTTCAATAATAAAATTACTTAAACTGCTAATCCATTCCGTGCATGTTAAACAGTTCATTTAAATCCTTGGTTGGTGCCTCTATGGCTCTACTATCTCATGGATCAGCTTCCAGGTAGACCCTCCCTCCCACTAAAGAGTACAACCAATCTTAACTATCGTCCCTTAAAAAAGAAAACAAATAAGAGGACCCACTGACATGAACACTTCAACAGTTCCCCTTCTTTTATGGAGTCCTAGTCATATATACCCTTTCCATTTGTAATGGCATTGAAATCGAATCTATACCTGTTTGTTTATGTTGCTGTGAAATAGACAATTGTTCAAGACATTGCCTTAAGTCGACGTAATATATTCATTAAGCGTCACTGAGTTCTTACATTTGCATAACGGTGAATACAACCAAGAAATATTAAGGAGAACAAATTTCTTTATCTTCTAAATATGTGGTGTTTATATATTTTTTCTCTCTTTTTGTCTTCATATGGACTACGTACACTTTTATGTAGGGGTGGACAAAATAATTAAAAAATTGAACCGAATCGCCTATTAAAATAACCGATTTTTAAAGAACTAGTTCATGAACCGAATCGGTTTTAGAACCAGTTTAAGAACCGAACCATTTTGAATCGAACCAAACCGTTTCTGAACCGAATCGAACCGTTTTCAAACCGAACCAAATTGATTTTTATAACTTTATTTTTAATATTTTTTTCTTTTCAAAAGAGGGTCGACCCGAACTGGTTCAGAACCGAACTGTTTCCAACCGAACCGAACCATTTAAGCCAACTCTGTCGGTTTTTCAAAAAATCTGATTCAGTTCGACTCATGCACATCCCTACTTTTATGTATGTAGAAGATAATTTTATCTTCTATATGAGAAACATTAATCCCAAATATATTTTTATTCTGCACATTTCTTTTAGGAAAAAATATTTCTGCAGTTAATGCAAATAAGTTATCTGCATTTATTATCAAAACAACGTCATTTTGGTATTGAAATCTTAAAAAATTATAAATATAAAGACTATTATAATCCTGAAATAAATTAAAATTATAAAAATACCATGATTTATCCCCCAAAACGACATCGTATTAAGCTTACTACAGATAACTTATCTGCAGTAATTACAGAAAAAACAAACCCTTTCTTTTTAGGGAAATAATTTTCTTATGTTGTAGGAAAATGCTTATCTTATGTTGTAGAAACAAGATTGTAAGTGGGACCCATAAGTAAGAGGAGAGAGAAAAAAAAAAGAAATGGGACCCACCTAGCTTGTGTGTGTGTAGGAAATGTAGTTATCTTATGTAAAAGTAGATAAATATAACCCTTCTTTTTATAGCTAAAACGGAAAAAGAAGTATCCATTGCCATTCTTTAATTTTTTTTTAATAAAAGACAAGGGTAGAAGATGTATTCAAGGAATCAAGTGCAGGAATTAGGAATCACAATTTTTATACCATATCCTGTAAAAGCAGTTTGGCTTTCATGGTAAAAGGAAATGTTATTAAACCAGACTTCATTATTGATCGAAGTTTTAGGTTATTGGATCACTGGTTTAATTAGTAAGTTATTAGTTCAACTGCATCACTCGATAAGTATATATAAATCTATAATTTATATTAAAAAATTTATAAATATAATGAAATACCTATAAAAAAATACTAATTTCAAATATTTTAATATAAAAAACAATAAATTACACATTGTTGTCCAACAGAAAACCAATCAAATATATAATACTTGATGTACATAAAGAAAACATATAATACTTTTGATATTGATGTTTCAGGTTCAGTAGACGACATCTCTAACTATAAATCAAATAAAAATTCAATGAATATTACATAACCAAGATAATAATTAGTATTGTAGGTACATGATTAATGTAAATCAATAAACAACATATCACGCAAATATTAAAAAAAAAAAAACAAATCATTTGCATATGAAAGTAAAAAAAGAAAAGCATCAATTGATGAGAACAAACTAATTTTTTTATGAATCGAGCCGGGTCACTGATTTTTACAAAAATCGATCGGGTCACATCGGTTCTATTATATAGCCGATCCAATATGAAAATCGAACTAGTTATATGACCGGTTCACCTATTTTCGGATCTACCCGGTCGGGTCGATCTGGTTTTTATAACATTGGTAAAAGGATATAAAAAAAAAAACAAATGGTGGTAGCTCAGTTGGTAGCATGGAAGCTAAGAAAGTGAAAACAAAATGACTTCGGTTTGATCACCACATGCCACCTCTGAGAGAGATTTAAATATCTTAATCCCTAACTCGTCGTGTACTCCAGATTAGTCCTATAACTGACTCAAAAATTCAAAGTTTGTGAAAATAACAGAAAAAGCTAACTCGCCTTAAAAAAATAATTAGAATTGAATTAACTTAAAAAAAAAAAAAAAGACATGAAGAAGAGAGAGCCTAGAGGGAATAAACATTTATAATGAATCAGTACATACATCTTGTTCAAATTTATTATCAAGGTTTATTTCCTCTTTTTTTCGCTCTCTCATTGTATACCTAAAGTAAGACCAAAAGCAAAAAATAATTAAAAGTATTTACAAATTCTTATCGGGAGAATAGCTTCTGCTGCAACTGCAGAAGGCTATTCTCCTGCTTAAGACACGTTGTTTTTTTTTTATATTTTTATTTTTATTTTTTAAGTTAATATATTGTGGAATCCATTAAAAAATAGTGTGTGCTGCAAAAAAAATTCTTCTCCCATGAAAGGAGAAGAACAAAGCCCATTCTTATCATCTACGTAATTGTTACCTGGATTTGATTTTGATCCATCCTTTAGTGTATTTCAATACACTATTATCAAACTCCTGTCAACTAGAGTCAAACTTTCAAAAACTTTACAAGCTAATTTCCTCTCCCACTGGATCAAAGGTGAATCCAGTGATTACTTTTTCCCTCTATTTCCATTTTTAATAATCAAATTCTGCGCCGCACTTAAATAACTCGGTTATTTATTTACTGCTTAACAGAATCATGATCGTTCTTTCCCAAGTATTGTAAACATTCTTTTTTTTTTTTATCAGCGAAGGTTATATGGGAGGCGATCAGGCGACCATATATATATATATATATATGGAAAATGTTTTTCAAAATTATCTCATACAACATATAAAAAAGTGAGCGAGATCTACTAAGAAAAAAAGAGAGAAAGAAAAAAATGTATCTTATCTCTTTTTTTGTGTATTGCATGAGATAAATTGTCTCATTTAACATGAGAAAAATAAATCTCTATATATATATATGAGCCAGAATTATTTCACACTATATATATATATATATATTCAAAATGAATTTCATTCATTTTTTATGTGAATGTGACATAAATAAAATTTTATTTTAACAAAAACAGAAATATTTTTTCAATTCATAGTTCCTGCAACCACAAAGACAAGCTCGTCCTGTATAAATCTTCAAACATCGATACAAGTGATATGTTGTCATTAATGGGAAAAGAATCATAACAATGTCCTAGTTTGCTAAAATGAAAGGAAACACTAAAAAAATAAAATGTAATGAGAGATAATGATGAAAGCTGCAGGACCAAAGGGATGGATCATGGATATAATCATGACTGTTAGAACACTCATCTCGAATTCTGGAATTAATGATTAATTCGTTATGTTTCTTCGCAATTTACTTGACGTCCACGTAATTAAGCATGTATACCCATTACCCCCGTCGAGCTTTCAATTTTTTTGTCCAATTTTTAACGTATTTACTTGTCTAAAGTTTTCTTCTAGGAGAACATTACACCTGAACATAAAGAATAAAGATATTCTAATTACTAAAAAATTTTACTACTAACTTACTATCAATTACATCACCATTGGATCAAAGAAAGAGAATCTTAAAAAAAAATTGAAGAGAGAAAATATTAATCTAAAAGTAATTGATTAGATAGATAGTAAATTAATAATGAAAAAATTTTGTAATAAGAATATTCCTCCTCAGGTATAAAAGGTGTGAATGTTAGAGCTATACCTATACGACAAACCAATGAAGATATCAGATCATTACTGGTCAAGCATGTAGCTGTAAAAGACAGGAAAGATTAATAACTAGTCAAACTCAAAGGGAACAGCAGACACCATGTGAGTCGTACCCAATCAAACTTAAATATTGTATACAGCAGAAGTGTAAACCATACATGTATGTAGAGTGCAAATATCAGCCATCGAAGAGAAACTCATGGCTCACAATAACTCACTCCCTCCCCTCCCGGTCCCAGTTTTGAACTCTTTTTTAAGTTTTTAGGTACTTCTATAGAGGTTAATAGCCAACATGATTAAAATAATTTGGACTCGTTGGGCTTGGTGGGGTGGAGATGGACGACTCGCTGTTGGTTTCCCTCATTTGAGAAAAACTTCAATGTACCGGAAACATCAAATTATGTATTCCCTTTTACTAAAAAAAGGAGTTGAAGTTCCATTTTACTCATTTTTTTTTTATATTTCCCTTTAAATCCTAAAAAAATTCCCTTTTTAATAAAAATGAACACTAAGTTCAATGCTCCAGGTGCATTAAAGTTTTTCTCTCTTCATTTTGTATTATTGGTTCTTGTGCTTTCCTTCATAATAAAAGAAAAGAAAAATGATAAAACAGAGAGGACTAGAACATGGAATCGACCATTTGGCAAGTCAACAACAACGACATATTTCATTTAATCCTGCCGAGTTTAAAACAATCACTCTAAAAGTAGGAATTTCATTCATATACAAAGTCAAATGAGATGGAAGCAGCAACAAAGAAACTAGTTTCTGTAGAAAGGAAAAAGTTATAGAAATGCTGATGTCAGTCGTGTTAGCTTGTTCCTTGATCACCACTTCCTACCCTTTAAACATTTGACGTTCAACCCTCACATAGATGAGGTTACTTAATAAATAAAACCTCACCCAACTGGGCAGTGTGCATCAATGTGCCAATACGAGATAGCAGTAACTGCCTCGTGCAGCCAGCAATGAAATCCAGACTAAAACTACTGGATTATTGTAACAGCAGCTCATCCTCTTTTCGTAACTCCTTGAGCCGTCTCTTAGCATAGACAGTGAAAAAGATGGTTGTAGCTACAGTTATGCAGAAGCCAACAACATTGAGGACGGTTTGAGGGGCAGATAGAGTGTGCTTTTTATGCGAAACATTAGCCAATGTGCGTATCAAAACTCCCCTGCAGCCAAAGACAAGGAGACAATGAATTCAAGAGGATATTTTGCGTCATTAGTTCCTATCTTTGTAAACATTATAAACAAACCAACATTTTAACTGGCTAACATAAAATACATGTCAAAATGCAAGGATAGGACTATAAGTTAAGGGCAACCACCGTTGTTATTAGCCAACAAAATATTTATTGATGAAGATAGATGAAATGAAGCAAAGAAATAAATAACAATGAAGATAGTATTGCAGATCAAGGGAGTCTGAGGGGGAACATAAGAGGAAAAAGGTAAAAGTCCGAGATAGAATTGACACAGGAATGATGTTTTTGGTGCCAAGTAAATATTAGTTTTCAAAACAAAAACATTAATAAAATAGTGTCCAGCTGGTGAGAATCTGTTATGGGTTTGTTATTTTATTATTTTCTGAATTGTTGGGTTGTTTAAGTAATGGGTAGTTATTTTATTTATTTTGTTATTTGAATTTCAACTTTGCTAAAGGAAAGGTCATAACTATTAGTGAAGCCTATCTCGTGTTAGTGGGTAGTTACTTTTATGGTTGACTTGTATTATCTATTTAAACCTTGAAGTATTTGAATAAAGATCATAAGATAGTTTACCAAAAAAAAAAGATCATAAGATAAAAAACAATATTTTGTGCACTTGTTTGTGTGCTTGAGACAGGTACCCTTAGTTGAACTCACAGCTTGGTATCAGAGCCTAAGCATGGAAAAACTTTATCAAAGCCAGGCATGGAGAAAAGTTGGAAAAACTAAAAGATGCAGTTCAGGCACTCTCCATTCAATTGAAGGAGATGTTCACCAAACTCTCCAATCGGCTAGATGCTCTAGTACCAACCACCAAACTCTCCTATTTCCATTGTTCTCATTTCATACGTGAGGCTTCCACACCCAAATATTTCTCTCTTTCTCTCTCCACCAAACAAGCAACCCCCCTTAACACTACTATTAAAAATTTCAATGCGGTCAAAGTGTCTCAATGAAACAAGGCCCCTTGACCAAGACCCCAAATTTTTGGTTTAGACATGAGATATCCAACAAGAAATTCACTTCTAAAATTCTTTGAGAAGAGGAAAGAAAGAGTCGTGGCTAGAGGACATTTTCCAATCAACAGCAATGAAGAGGTGGACATGGATATTGAAGATGATTCAATTACTTGATGTTGATCTTACCCTTGAGGACGAGTAATTTTTAGGGGGAGGGATTGCTAAGGGTTTGTTATTTTATTATTTTCTGAATTGTTGGGTTGTTTAAGTAGTGGGTAGTTTTTTTTTTTTTTGAATTTCAACTTTGCTAAAGGATAGGTCATAACTATTAGTGGAGCCAATCTCGTGTTAGTGGGTAGTTACTTTTATGGTTGCCTTATATTATCTATTTAAACCTTAAAGTATTTGAATAAAAATCATCAGATGCACTTGTTTGTGTGCTTGAGGTAAAGTTCCCTCAGTCGAACTCAAATCCCCTATTTTCTTCCAAAATAGGTGTATGTAACAGAATCAAACAACCTATGAAGACATACTGATTTATTTTCTTACACCCTTTCCAAAAGGAACTTAGGGAAGACAAAAAGGATGTCAATACTCCATAACATTCATAACAACACAACACAACAAACTGAATTTATTGTTATTTAAAATATGTTTGCCCTCTCCCATGAATGTGCCATCCAGACTACTGTAGAGTGCAGAGATAAAAAATAATCTAAGAGGAAGAACAATCAGATATAACCTTATTTTTTATTTTATTTTATTTTTTTGGAAGGGGTGTGTGTGTTGGGGGGTGGGGTGGGGGGGGGGGGGGGGGGGGGGGGGGGGGGGGGGGGGGGGGGGGGGGGGTGTTTGGATGGGAACAAGAGGTTCTACATGTGACCAGTCAGTCACTTTAGTATTACTCCGACCATTATTATAACATTACCCACTTAAACGACAAATACTAGTATATTGATTTATTTGAAGCCATCAAATGTCATGCATGAAAACAGATCATTTGCTCCCTTCTATACAAAGTCATATTCAAAACCCAAGTGAAGATCTAAATAAGGATAGAAAGACACCACTGTTCTAAGAAAAACAATCATTTACTTCGTGGGTAAAGTATCTATTCACCTAAACATAATATTTCCTATGGTCAACTTCAAGGAGGAACAAAAAGTGAAGACATGTTACGAAGATGCTTACACAATAAATGATGCACTTGTTGATCAACAAGTATTGCTCTGTTAAATCAACAAACTTCAAAGACTATAAACAAATAATTGAGTTTGGTTGGAAACACAGATAAAGAAATTTTATGATGACAACAAGAAGCCAAAAAGGCAAAGGTGAGAGCAATCTTCTACCCCACAACCATGGGACTAAAACAAATTTGAAGGACTATATCAGTTTTACCATTATATTAAGATTCATCAATCCACCAAATTATTTCTAGATATATTTATTGATGACTATATAAATTATCAAAGCCAATATTGCAACGAAGGGAACCATGAAAACATTGTAAAGAAAGATGGAGAGTCTGAAAGAGTCTCAACTATATCAGGCATTAAAACCATAACACCAAATTTAAGCAATCACCACTAAACAATGAGTCATAATGTAGACAATTGTCTTTTCTTGAAATAATCATACTGAGCAAAATATACTTATGCTGGAGGCATAGCTAGCCGAACCAATTACACAACCTAAATCCACAGTATGGTATAATCACCCAGAAGCGAGCAAAAAGTGGTCAGGCTCTATATTTTCTGATGTACATGATAACTTTTTTTTTTTTGTAAAAATGTACATGATAACTTTTATATCTACACGAAAATGTTTGATACTCAAGAAGCAATCCATCAAAGAATGCTAATAGCCAGGCAAAACATAAGCAAACTCCTAGTATAGAAAATAAGTGTGTATCAGAGAGAGAGAGAGAGATCCTACGTATAGATTGAAGCAACTATATCTGGTACCATTCCTACCAAGGATCCGAACAAGTAAGGCCCATACTTAACTTTTGTCGCCACAGCACAATAGTTATAGATTATGTACGGGAATGGAGAAACCCTGATTAAAACAACTGCCCGAAACTGATGAAACAAATTTCCTCCACCAGCAGATCTTAGAACAGAAGCTCTCTTTGGATGCTGTTCTAACCACCCCTGCAAAGAATGATGAAATGTTGGATCCTAATTAGCACGGGTAAGGTAAACACAAGAAGATAGAAACCAACTTAGACTGAAGACAAGGCACATACTTCAATTTTATGTTGGAAGATTGAACCGATAAAAAAAGGGAGGGATACTCCCACAGCTACTGCAGAAAATATCAGCAAGAACCCAAAGCCGTAACCAAATGTCATCCCAGCAACCCACATAGAAGGTGAGGATGGCAAAAGTAGGGTTGGGAATAGTGCTACAGAAGCAAACACCAGAACAGCTAACACTGGAGTACTGAATGTGTTTCTCTCCCAATTTATTATAGGAATAATCACCTGAAAGTAAAAATTATGTCATCAATGAGATAGGTGATTAAACATCGTAATTTACAAATGGTGCAAAAATTGAAAAGACAATGTTTCATTAAGAGCCTGTTTGGTACCTCTCTTTTTTAAGCTAAAAGCTAATCTTAAGCTAAAGCCAAAAAAAAAAAAACTAAAAGTTGTTTGATGATTATATAAAAATTTTAGCTTAAAAGCTGATACAACTTAAAAAAAAAAAAAAAAACTCATCCTAGGAGCTATTGACTTTTGGCTCTCTTTTTTTGGTTATAAAAAAAACTAGCTTTTGTAAAAATTTGTTTGGCCTAACTTCTGCTTATAAGGAGAGAAGCAAAAAAAAGACCTCCCAAAGAGTCACTTAACCTATACTTTAAAAGTTAAATACACCGTGTATCTTTCATGATAGATGCAACCAAAAGAATGTAAAATACACCAATCTGCATCATCAAGAGCGCACGTTTCCATCTTAAGGCAGAAAACAATCATGGACAGTACATGGCTAATCCTAGATATAAAGTCTCAACTATTATTTCCATTGCAACAAAATGGATTTGAGCTATCTAAATTGCCAAGGTTCTCCCTGCCCAAAAGTAACCAAATACTGCATACAATACAAAGTAAAACCAAGCCATGATGTGAACTTTTTCCCTCTTATAATTAAAACCACAGGCATAGCAAAACCAGAAAAGCTATACAATGAAATAGCAGATACTTGCATTCATGATCACGACGGTGAATATCCGTAGAAACAAATCTTTCCAAGAATCATGGTTTTCGTGTCACGCTGTGTGTTCAAAACATTAAAATCATTATCAAACCCCTCAATTCTGTTTCATTGTCCTTTGTGTCCTCTGCTCTACGATACCAAACCCATGGTTGCTGCTATTCGCAATTTACTAAACCGTTACCGCATATACAAATGCAAATGTCAAAAGCGAAAAATTTGAGAGGGAAAAACACAATAAGGGTAGTGCAATGAATGTGGCAGAAAGGAAGAAGAAAAAACCTTTTCTATGAAAAAGGGTCCGACCCATTTGAAAACAACAAGAGCCAAGAGCCCCAGGCAAAGGAAAGACACCACCAATTTAACCCAATACCACAAATCCGCTCCTCTCGCCGACGGAGAAGGTTCCGTGTCCGTGGCCTCTGCCTCCTGTTGAGGTTGAGAATCTTGGAGGCTCCATCTCAATTTGAAGTAGTCACCACCATCCACCTCCCTTGTGCGACAACCGTCGTCAATGTCATCCTCCACGATATACGTCATTGAAAGCCCCAAATGGATTTTACGGTGGCTTCACCACCACAGCTAGAAAAAGTGAATACAAAGAGTAACACTCTCACGAATGGTTCATGACTTCATGGCTATTCGGGACCCCCAAATAACGGTTTTGCTAATGGAGAACAGAATCCACAACCTCTCGTCCCCACGAGGAAATGACCCAAGGATAAAAAATTAAAGGGAAATCATACTATGTTGCTCGAAAAAAAATAATAATAATAATAATCGTATATCACCCGTTATAAGGGCATTTGACATATTTATCCTTTAATTACTTAAAAATTATCACTTCATCCCCGTTTATAAATTATTTAAAATATTTGACATTTTCATTAAATATAACATCAATATATCTCTATTTGGCAAAAACTATACTTGAGTATAGAACAATATACTGGAGTATATTGTCTTGCTTGAAGGTGTTCATCATTAGTTGAATTATTTATCAGAGCATGTACCCTCTTACCCGAGTATCCACACCAGATACTCATGTATATATCGAGCAAAAACCTTCAAATGAGTGGGTTTCAGCCTCATTTGTCATCACCCGTTTTCTACCCCAAAATTTTCCTTGTTTCTCATATGTATTCCAGGTCATTAAGTTTGTATTCCATCAGATGGTCTCCAAAACTTGTATCTTGTGAAAGCATTTTCATTACACTAACAAATTCAAATTTTTTTAAAAAAATCTGAATCCAAGCCAAACCCTAGACCAAATTTTGTGTTGAAAGATGAGTTCAAGTTCAAACAGTTATCCTGCAATTATCTACCATAATAGGAGGCAAATTTAAGGTCCCAATGGTGTCCGATTTGAAGGAAAAACGAAAACGATTAAAATCAAACGGGGCACAACATACAATGAACTGAAGGAGAGAATTCACCAAAAATTAGGGCTATAAGGCAGTCAATGTATTCATCACTTGATATAGCCAAGTTAGAGACTCTAGTTGATAAGAATACAATATGGTATCGATACAAATAATAATAAAGATGTGGAGTTTGTCACAAATGCATGTGATGACCAGAAAGTACAAAACATTATTGAGATATATGTTGAAGTTAATTATGGGTAGTGTTCATCTTTACCCATACATACAAGCAAGCTTCACAATATATTGTTCAAGAAGACACAATTGTCAGTTTATCTGCACATGCACAAGGGTTAAGTCAGATAACATTGTGGGAGGGAGATGAGGATGAGGAGGAGGAGGATATGGACAGCGGTGAGAAGGGAGAACCTGAGAGTGTTATTCCACAAGGTGATTCGTTGATACTGACGTGGAGGGTGGTTTTGACACTGACACGAATACGATAAGCATGAGTTCTCCGGCTATGTCCCCATTTCATGTTGACCCAGTTAGTAGTGGTAAGTTATTAAATTACAATTTTTATTGAACATTTTATATTTGTGTTGTTATTGTTTTTGACAAAAAAAATATGTTTTAAATGTAGAGCAAGAGATTGAGCCATTTTGGAATGAAAGTCAGCATTATTCTTTCATTAATTGGGCATACCCTGATGATGAGAATGAGTTGTTGTATGGTGAGGAATACTTGCACGGTGGCTGAAAATTAGGAGATCCTTTATTTTAGCAACAGGAGTACGGTTCCAAATACGAAATGCAACATTCCATGAAATTATTTTGTATAAAGGAGCATCGTACAACTATAGTTGAAAAAAGCGATGAGCATAGATTTGTGATGAAGTGCAAAAACCATAGCGACAGTTGTTCCTGATATGTTAGGGCAATCATGTCTAAGAAAGGAACCAAATAGGTGGTTCGCAAGTAGGGTAAGGATCACACCTGCCTGAGCCAGGCTCTTTCCCGGGATTATAGATAGCTTGATTCAGAAGTTATATGTTCATCCATTATGGGTATGTTTTGTATAACGTGCATTTAAATATCGTTTGTTTATGTTATTAATTTAGTGAAAAATATTTATTGCTTTATTTTGATAGGTATGTTAAAGGAAGATCCAGTTGTGAAGCAGGCCTGATTCAAGAGAGGATACATCAACTGTATGGATACAATATATCCTACAAGAAGGCTTGGAAGGTAAAAATGAAAGAAATTGTCAAGTTATTTGGTGACTAGGACAAATCATATGCATTCTTGCCCAATTGGCTGACCTACATGACACAATATATAGTGGGTTCTACATTCCATCTTGATACCGATCAACACTTTATCCATCATCGGCTTGTCAGTGATAAGGTTGTCTTTTATAGAGTTTTTTTTACATTTCACCAGTACATTGAGACCTTTAAATTCTTAAGTTGATGCTTCAAATTGATGGTACTCATATGTATGGAAAATACAAATGAACCATTTTGATTGCATCGCCTCATCATCGTTATCCCCTCCTCCTTAGAAGCAGGCTAAACAGCAGCAGCAGGCTCCTTTATACCCTGTCTATGCCCTAACTCGAGTCCTACTCTGGACTCCAAACGTCCCACTATAGACTCCATCCAAGTCCACCACTTGCCCTGGTCTTGTCTAAATCCCCCCAAGTCATGCTCCAATGTATCGATGCTCCAATGTCTCGATGCTCCATGTCAACCTGAGCATGGATGACATGACATGATCAACCGTCCATCCACCCTCAGGAGCTGGAGGATCTGGCGGCGGGGTAGATGTGCACGTCCACCAGCAGCTGGCTCATCTTCCTCATGAGCAGGAACATCAATGTGATCGCCTGCAAGTGCAACAAGAATATTAAATATTAACATTTTAACAGATTAAATGTACAAATTAAATATAATACATCATCATCATCACCTGCAAGTGCATACCTCCATCTCAGCATCATGGTGGAGGGGGACTTCAGGTGGCATAGGTGCATCCTTATACACCCACGTAACATTACGTAATTGCTTAATCCCACACGGTTTGAATAGATGCTCCCCAAACTTGGCATTCCAACCTGTATGTGTCCTCAGTGTCTCTGTATGCATATGCACACCAAAATTATGCAATATCTTTTGCACTAGGTATATATAGGGAAGGGGGTCTTTCTTGACTTTGCAGCCTTATACATCAAGATGCATATATAATGCTTCTATTTCACCCTAATCTGGTGACGGATGGCCCTCAAAATCACCCTCCAACACCTTGGAGTGATTATGCGGGTGTTGGAAAATAATGTGTGTGTAGACATAATGTAGTATACAGGCAGGCATAGATAGGTTGCCTACAGGATACTGAACAAACTGGCTGGGCTTTGCATCAGCCCTCAGGGTCTCCTGAATAATCGTCTCCTGATCATAATCCTGAAAAACATAATGAGACTCTCTGTCGTATTGGACTGCGTCTGCATTAGCATCAAAGTTATAGCCTAGGAGCTCACCGTCCATATAGGGGCATTCATGACAATATCAATACTACAAACGCGGGAAGTTAGCTTGTCCCGTAAGTAGTGGAGGTTCCGGTAGAACGCCCTCACTATAACCTACGAATAGGGGCACTCCATCTCAGCAAGGTCCAGGAGACGTGTCTATCCCAACAGTGTCACAATCTCGAACCTCTCCATCTTGAAGAACGCTGAATGTAGTGATTATGGCTCACATATGACGCGGCTCATGAAAGACTTCACAAACCGATTGTGTGATGCCACATCATCCTCAAATAAATACCCAAACGACATCTTAGGAGCCTCCTCAAAAGTTGGCTCAGGCTGAGAGGTTGAGGACTCATCTTGGTGGCGCTTTGTCCTCCTCTCCGTCGGTGCTGTTTTCTTCGAAACATTTCTGTCAATCATTTTTCAGAATTTCAACTTGAAAAAACACAAAGGATAAAATTATTTTTCAGAAGTCCATGTGAAACAAAACAATTGAAGTCTTGTAAATTGGAAAACTTGAAGATAATGACTAATTTCTTACACTTTTGCTATATTAGATAATTTAGAAGTTGATTATAATTAATTTTCGGAATAAACCAGAATTCTTTAAATGAAAACAGAAAGGAAAAACCTATAAATGAAATGATCAATTTTCGGAATAATTTTGGTATATATCAGAATTTTATTTTCAAAAATCAACAAAGAAAAGGGCAAAACTGAAAGGAAAAACCTATAAATGATAAGGACACATCAAGCAAGAGAAGAACTCATAGAAATCATAGTTGCAATATGAGAAATGTCTAGTCCCAAATCGTGCTCCAAAATTGCGCGGGTAACACCTTCAAAACACCTAAAATCGTGGATGAAACGACCCAAAAGGAAAGGGTTTTTGTTCATGACACTGAAATGAGTGAAATAACCGGTGCACTTTGAAGGAAAACTGGACGAAATTGAAAGGAAGAGGGGCTAGGGTTTCTGGTTTCACAAGCTCTGCCCGAGTATTGGTTAGGGGGGAAAATGAGAGAGGAAAGGGTTTTTAAAAAACCAATTCGCTACAGATACTTGAGTATGCATGGTGATACTCGGGTACATAATTCACACCAAGTTCTTAGAATATGAACACTACTCGGGTATTCATGTACTATAACCGGGTACTTATTTTTTATGCAATCCACGCAGGTATAGTTTCATATACTCGAGTACATAATTGGATCAACGATCAAACAGGGACAGATGAGTGATATGTTTTGAAGCGGGGGCGAAGTGGTAATTTATAATTAATTAAAGGGCAAATGGGTCAAATAGCCCCCATTATAACTATGGACCTCCGAAAATAGTTATAACAATAAAGTTATTTTTTTTCTCTTTCTTCACAAATTGTCGAATGACGTGGAGAGAGAAATTCTTTTTTTAATAGTATAACTATATACCTCCGAAATACATAGTTATAATCGGTGACATAAAATAACTTTTTTTTTCCAGTAACATGAGAAAAAAGGGACCCAACAAAAATATCTTTTGCAAATTGCAATTGAGCAACATGGTTTTAGCCGGTGTTATCTAACTCGGACTGATTATTAACTTGGTTGGGATAGTGGGTCATTATTCAACCACATGAACTAATTATATAATAAATTAATAAATATATAATTAATTAGAGTTGATTTAATGGTAAATGCTATAAATGATAATGCACATGGTCTAAGTTTGAATCTTATTAGTGATGTTTTTTAAGCATTTTAAAAAATTGATGCTGATATAATGCCGGTTGAATCGATTAAGGATCAGTTTATCAATGTTATATAAGGCAAATGCATATCTGATCTAATATCTAACATAAACCGATTGAAGATTCGGGGTCAACCGATCGATCCGTGTATATAACACTGTTTCAGCTATGTGGGCCTCCCTCCACTGCTTCTTCTCTTCTGTCTTCGTCAATAATAATAAAAATAATTTGTTTTAATCTGATTGACTTTTTATTATTATATAGATTTGGTTAGCGAGAATTGATAAGGATAATCTCTTATATAATTTTTTTATGTCTTTTACCGTTAGCTCCTCTCACACGCCGTTCTAAATAATTTGATGATTGATTCCTTATAATATTGTAGTAATTTTAAAATAAGAATTTTCGTAGTATTTTGATAATTATTCAATTAGTCCGATTCCATCCGTCATATTGGGACAAAGCTTGCCGTACCAAATTTTATTAGATTATCAGGGATTCGAGCTAAAGACATGTTTGGTGGTTGGTTCTTTACTTTCTAGATATGTGCAATTACTATGAGTCAATGACTATTGGATCAAGAATTTCGTTGCTTTTGATCTAGCAATTTTTTATTTGGAGTTCACTTCTATTCTCTCTTTTTAAAAAAATAAAAAATAAGAATAGAGTACTATGTTACATAGTATTATATCACAGACATAACAAGTCATACATGTTAAGGAATATTGCGGCAAACCCCATTTTTTATTAGGCATTGCCATCGTTAACAGGGTTTAAGGGAAAAAAGGAGCTGCAATTACTCACTCAGGTTAACTGGGGAAAAAACCGATGTAAACGCTGCTTCAAAATAAAAACATGAATTTAAGTAGGGTGAAGCTGTTGCATAATGTTAATTGCTCGCATCTCTCACTCTTCCATGTTCGAAAACCACCAATTTTTCTACGATTCGGGACCAACATCTCTTCTCCATTGTCGATTCGATTGCATTCACACTTCCCATGTATGTATTATTCTCATTTTGCACCCATTTCTTTTTTCTTTCTACGTAAAAATACATATAATTACTGTGCCCTGTTCTATTCACTGCGCAGACGGGAACACCAAACTTTCTCTCAAATGTGCACCGTTAAACTCTTCGGATTCCCTCGCACCCGATCCGCTCCCCATTCACCCTTCCGACCCGACGACCCATGTACTTCCTCATCGTCTCACTCCATACCCATTTTTGAATTTTTTGCTACCACGATTAAAAATAAAATAAAATAAAAATTGTTGCTGTTATAGCTATAAACTCGTGACTTACATAAACTCTACATGTTATACTGTATTTTTGTAATATGATAATTAAATGGTGTTATTACAGGCTCCTTGCCCTATGCATACTTTGATCAGAAATTTCTCTGTGTATGCGTAATTATTATTGCATATGCTGTAAAACGTGCTGTCATATATTAATATTAGTAGATTTTGAAGTTTTATTCGTTTCACTTTTTCCTTCAAGATTTAGAGCATGCAGGCTTCTTTCCTGTAATCAGGTTTAAGTTTTGAAATTTGTGCACGTAATCAAAACCGAAGTAACGTAGGGCATCTTTGTTTTTGGTTATTTTGTTTCTTTCCTCAGATGGTGAATCAAAATTCAATGTCTATTCTGAAGATTCTGAAGCAATCAAATTCATTTCTGCCTCATGCAGTCCTTGCTAGTACACTGCTAGCTCTAATCTTCCCACCTTCTTTAACATGGTTTACTAGCAGGTCTATGGATGATCTGGTTGATAAAAAATATTGTTTTATGATTATTTGCATTTTTTGAGAACTTGAACTTGTCAGATGATTTGCAGCAATGAACTGGTTAATATTCTAGCTCTATTCTAGAATTTCATGCTGAATCTCTTTCAACTGCAAAAGCAAAATGGAATGTAATGGGGCAAACTACTGATGACTGGAATCCAAAATCCAGCACGGACAATTTTTTATTTTTTATTTTAAATGATTTCAGCCACAAATTCATTATTATGTGATTTACTTGCAGATACTATGCACCTGCCCTAGGTTTTTTAATGTTTGCAGTTGGGGTTAATTCAAGTGAAAAGGACTTCCTTGAGGCATTTAACAGGCCAGCAGAAATTGCCACTGGTTATGTTGGCCAGTTTGTTGTGAAGCCTCTTCTTGGATATCTGTTTTGCATAATTTCAGCGACTGTATTTGGTCTACCGACAGCAATAGGTGAGAGTGGTCCGTCTTGATATTAGAAAGAGCTGTGGGATATACTTTCTAATTATTGGTGGTAAATTGAATCAGGCGCAGGAATGGTATTGGTAGCTTGTGTTAGTGGAGCCCAGCTCTCAAATTATGCTACTTTTCTAACAGACCCCCAGATGGCACCATTAAGCATAGTTATGACATCGCTGTCCACTGCTTCTGCGGTTTTTGTCACGCCACTCTTGTTACTGTTGCTCATTGGGAAAAGACTGCCTGTAGATGTAAAAGGAATGGTGTTTAGCATTTCACAGATTGTGGTGGCACCTATTACAGTTGGCCTGCTTCTAAACTGGTAATACGATAGTTTCAGCTGAATTTATTAATAGTAAGTGTTTGCTTAAAAGGTATCATCTTTCTTACATATTCGTTTTTACAGCTTCTTTCCCCATATTCGTAATGCTATTCGACCATTTTTGCCTCCACTATCGGTATTGGTTGCAGCTATTTGTGCTGGAGCACCAGTGGCTATTAACATTGAGTCTATTTATTCCCCCTTTGGCGTTGCTATCCTTTTTCTTGTTGTTGCTTTTCATTTGTCATCTTTTATAGCTGGTTATATCTTAAGTGGATTTGTCTTGCGTGATTCTCCTGATGTGAAGGCACTACAACGAACAATTTCCTTAGAGACAGGTACAAGTTTTTTTTTCCATTTTCCTCCATCACATGCCCCTGTAGTAGCATATTTTACTTGAGTAACTTCGTTTATCCAACGGCAGGAATGCAAAGTGGCCTCCTTGCCCTGGCTCTTGCTAATAAGTTCTTCGAAGATCCAGTAGTGGGTATGCCTCCTGCAGTTTCTGTAAGTTCTCCACTCCTGTTAGATTCCAATTACTGTAATATACGTTGGCAATATAAATCGTCTTTACGTCTCTTCTCTTTTACATGTATGTGTTACTCTATGTACATTTGTGTCTGAACGAATGAATAATATATTTTTTTTAACAAAAGAAAATGGGTGAGCTATGATTTTAATGCCTTCTCTGCATATTTATATAGCAATGCAGCTGATTGCTTCCTTGTGGGAAGAGTGACTATTTTGCCACAGTTGGCAAAAAAATTTACCAGATTGTCACGCCAACGCCAACAGTAAATTTTGCCAAAATGTCACGTTGTAACCTTAGCCGTCGTTGAAGAAGTCTGAAAATAATTAAGAGTTAAGATAAGATAATGCGAATTAGTTATATTTTCAGACTTCTTCAACGACGGCTAAGGGTGCAGCGTGGCATTTTGGCAAAATTTACTGTGTTGGCGTGGCAGTCTGGTAAATGTTTTTGACAAGTGTGGCAAAATTGTCACTCTTCCTTCCTTGTGTCGGAAAATGCAAAGCTTTTGTTTTTCGTCAAGAAGATAAAGGGCTTTAAATCTTCTGTAGTGTAAGCAATATATTGTTGCATGCTAGTCTCCGTAGAGAAGTATAGCGCTGGTTAAAAATATTATTCTATTGCAATATAAGTAGCTTATATTTTGCCTGCAGACTGCAATTATGGCTTTGATGGGATTTGGTCTTGTCCTGATTTGGGCCAAAGGAGGAAATAATGAGACAAACACAGCGCCTGAAAGGTATGGATATAAGGGTATATACTGCACATTGGTCCATCTTGTATCTTAGCCATCATCAGTACTGATGAAGCTATCACAGGAGGGACCAACGACAGGCAGAGTGATATCACATTGCCTGCTTGATTCTTTTTTTTGATATTATTTCAATTTTTCTCTACAAAAATATTTTAGAAATTCTTTGATGAACTTTGTTCTGAGAGTATGTTTTGAAAACTTGATGATGCTCCAGTGATGGCGGCAACTCTAGCGATGACGAAAGCTACAACAGTGATGGCACTGGCAGCTCTGCTGGTGGCCGTGATTTAAAGTGAAAGCAAAGAATAGACGTGGTAACGTGAATAAGAATATGAAAATAAAACCAATTGAAGTGTGTTCTTGTTTTTCTATTCTAAAAGCAAAATATGTAAGCACGCTTCCAAAACAACTGGTTAAGACTTAAGAAACATGTAACTAAAAACTAATTTCAACTAGCATTCATGGTCGATATGGTAGTTGTTGGGACAACGCCATAATTGTCTAGGTTCCAATGCTGGTAGAGGGAGAAAAAAAAAAAAAATAATAATTTCAAGATCAGAAAACAAAGGGGGCTGTGTGTGTCTTCTTGTTTAAGTGCCTGTTTGTTTTAGAGTTTTGGCACCTCAAAAGCTAGATTGCCATAAACGAAACCGAGTTCATCAGTAATCTATTTTTGTTTATTCTAGTTTATTGGACCCATGATTGAGCCCTAGTAAAACCAATTCATATTTTAAGCTTTGCTGTGCCTGTAGGGGCAATCCATGAAATGCTGTGAGAAATGGATCCCTCTACAACTTGAGAAAAATTACATGAAATCTTAATCATTAAAAATATTCTGTTGGAGGACAAAATATCTATCTTGAATATAATTTAACTACTTTTAACAGTGAAATGCATAATTGCATTGCTTTGCTGTAAAGGGTATAACTCAATTTTTATTTGAATTTGTATATCTAGTAACAGAAATAAGTAGTTTCGTCAAGAAAAATAAGTATGATAAAATAAAAAATTGGTATCCTTAAATATTATTATATTATCCTTAAAAAAAATTGTATTTCGTTTTTTGAAAATTGCAAATAATGAGTTCAACTTATCTAATTAACCTTATTTTTTTTTTTTGATAACAATTAACCTTATTTTTACAGCCATAAAGATGTTCTATAGTGAGAACTTTCATAGTTTGAAAATGCAATGCATGTTTTACGGGCACACCCATCTCACATTCTAGCTGCTAAGGGTGTAGTTCGATGTGGTTTAATTTTTTTATGTCGAAGTAGATTGATTTTTGAACCGGCTTTAAAAAAATAATTTTTTGATGTAGTTTGATTTAGTTCACAATCCAATTCTATTCTTTTAGTTTTTTTTTTTTTTACACATATATCCTCCCGTTTATGAAAGGGAAGTGGCACCATTATTCATTTTCAAAAGCAGAAAATAAAAATTCACAAGGTCTTCATAGAAACATTCGTCGGAATAAACTAACAACAATAAAGGATTTCCTTCCACCACTCTTCGTTAATACTATTAAAAGAAAGAAGAGGGAAGTGAAAGGATATATATGAATTATCTATAAGAATAATATTTATTAAAGTAATATAATTTCTAGCTTATTCTAATCCATAAGAGGTTTCCTCTAAGATTATGTTTAGTTTAGATTTTAGTAAAATTATTTTAAAAAGAACAAAAAATGTAATGTTAAGATAATTAATTTATGAGTTCGCTTTATTTGCAGTTACTGCAGATAAGTTATCTGCAGTAAGTCCAATACGACGTTGTTTTGGGGCGAAAATCATGGTGTTTTTATAATTTTAATTTATTTCAGAGTTATTATAGTCTTTATAATTATAATTTTCTAATCTTTCAATTCCAAAACGACGTCGTTTTGAAAGTAAATGCAGATAACTTATCAGTTAATTATACTTGAGAATGACATTTTAAAAGAAATTCTAAAAAGTCATTAGGATTGATCTAGTGGTGAGGGATTTGAATATGTTGTATTAAGTTATATGTTCAATTTTCACTTGTATAACTTTTTTTATTATTATTAAAAATATATTTTACCACCTTTTACTTGTTACACAAGGGCATTGCAAATAATGTTAATAATAAAAAATATATTTTACCACCTTTTACTTGTTACACAAGGGCATTGCAAATAATGTTATTAAGATCGGCTCCGGTTTGAGTTGCAGACAAAACAGAGTGATTTTCTTGCATCAAGTCTGCATGACTGTCATCAAACATGATTATGGCAGTACTTTATCTAACAATTTATAAACTATATACTTCTCTCTGTTTTCGTCGATATGGAACCTTTAAATCTGATGGCTTTCAAAATCGACACTATCTTCTTCTCCGAAGCAAACACACAAATTATTATGTCCTTTTTTTTAATTATTTGCATCACTACTCCAAACCAATTTCCGCAACAAAAAGAAATATTATGTTCTTAATTTGGTGATGGAAGATGGAAAGTTTGAGGATTTGGTGGTGTGAGAACCTGGGGGAAGTGCTAGCATCTCTTTGTCACAATTGAATACTGGGTTTTCTCCTTTAATTTTTGAGGTTTCAATAGGTATTCTATGACAGAGTCCCGTGAAAGCAAAAAACACAAAAAATAGGCAGAAGACAGAACTGGCAAAACAACGAAAAGATTCAGATTTTGAAGTTGTTTGGAAGAAATTGGAATTGAAATTCAAAGGGGAAAATAAAAGTCGTAACATGTGTTGAGGATTTCCCAGAGAGAAAGGGTATGCATGACAAACCATTCTGTTTCCTGGCACTGTTTCTGAAAAGAAACAATTCTTTTCTATTTCTGTATCTTCGAACAGTTTCTGAGAAAAAAAAATATGTTTGATAACATGTTCTTTTTTTATTCGGAGAATGAGATTGCGTTTGATAACATAATAAATAGTATAATAAAATATAATTCCTGTTAAGCATAAATTTTTTTCATATTACACTTTCTTTTCCATATGGTGTGGTGGTGGCGGCGACAATGGCGACGTGGTGGTGGTAATAGTGGCGGTGGCAGGGGCGACGATTGTAGTGGTGGTGGTAATGCCATGGTGGTGGTGGAGACAACAGTGGCTACGACGACGGTGGGGGTAGTTGGTGGCGGTGGCGAGGGTAATGGTGGTGATGGTGACGGCAGTGGCTGCGACGATGGTGGCGGTTGTTGGTGGCATGGTGGTAGTGGTGACGACAATGGCTGCGACGATGGTGGTGTCGACGGCGGTGGTGGTAATGATATGGTGGTGCTGGAGACAGCAGTGATTGCGACGACGGTGGTGGTAATGGTGGTCGCGGTGACGACAGTGGCTGCAATGATGGTGTGACGGTGGTATGGTGGTGGCGGTGACGACAGTGGTTGTGGTGATGTTGGTGGTGGTAATGACATGGTGGTGGTGGCGGTGGCTGCGACGACAGTGGTGGTAGTTGGTGGCGGTGGTGACAGCAGTGGCTACGACGATGGTGGTTGTGGTTGGTGGCGGCAGTGGCGTGGTGACGGCAGTGGCTGCAGCATTAATGGCGGTGGCAATGGCAGTAGTGGTGGCGATGGTGGTGGTGGTGATGGTGGCGGTGGCGGCGGCTGCGACGATGGTGGTGGTAGTTGGTGGCGATGGTGGTGGTGGTGGTAGTGACAGCAGTGGCTGCGACGATGGTGGTGGTTGGTGGCGGTGGTGGTGGCGGCGGTGGCATGGTGGTGATGGTGACGGCAATGGCTGCAGCAATAGTGACAGTGGTGGTGGTGGTGGTAGTAGTGGTGGTGGTTGTGGTGATATGGTGGTGGTGATGTGGCGATGGGTGGAGGTGGTGGTGGTGGTGGTAGTAGTGGTGGTGTGGTGGTGGTTGTGGTGATATGGTGGTGGTGATGTGGCGATGGGTGGAGGTGGTGGTGATGGTGGCGGTGGAATCGTGGTGGTGATGACAACGGCATTGGTGGTAGACGGCAACAATGGTGGTGGTGGTCGTGTCGAGATAATGGTGGTGGTGGAGAGTAATTGAGAGAGACAAGTGTTTCTCATTTTGTGACAAGGAACAAAAAAACAGAAATTTATTTATTCTTTTTTCTGTTCCCCAGCACAAAAATTAAATCGGTTCATCCCGGGAACAAAAAAATAAACTGATTTTACCAAACAAGTTTTCTATCCATTTTTGTTCCAGAGAACAGAAATTAAAAAAGAATTGATTCCGGGAAGGTTATCATGCACACTCAGGAGAGTGAATTTGTTTTTTGTTTTTGTTTTTTGGGTTGATCTTTGGAACCCAGAAAAGATTAGGACATGCATTTCCTGAATCAAAAATGATAAATCTAAGATGGGGTTTTGATGATGTAAAATATTGGAAAGTAGATTTTTTAAGTTGATAATAAATATTGGGAAAAATGTTTGTCCTTTAAAATAACATAATTTGTGTCATTTCACTTTCACAAATAGGTGAGACCCATACCTTTACTTTTTTATCCATTCTCTCTTCCTGATAATTTATCTTTTTCTCTTACTTAAAATGACACACCTTTACATCCTTTAAAATGACAGACACTTTTTCCATAAATATTTTCTTGTTGGTTGAAGTTAGTTAAGGGATCACATGTAGGGGTGCTAAACAAACCAGGGGCCTTTGGCTCGGCTCGTGAAGGCCTGAGCTTACATGTCTAAAATTGGTTGTTAGTACCAGACATGGACTTGTATAAAAGCTCGTTTAATAAAAAAGGCCTTAGTTTCTAATTCAAAAGCTCGGCCAAAAAGCCTCTCAGGCTGGCCTAGTATATTATTTTTTATTTATATTTTATATTTTTTATACTACTTGTAGTAGCCCCTTCTTTCTCCTCAATCCATTTCACTCCATTTTATTGGTTTAACAAACTTTTTGAATGATTTTGTTCTATATTATGTTGTTTGGATATAAATTGAATTTATAAATGTTTATTGAATTACTAATGTTGTTGATTGTATATTCTATTTGGAAAAAAATTTGTTATCTTATTTTTTTTAAACAAACTAATAGGCTAAACAAGGCTTTTTTTTTTTTTGTAAATAAGTCAGGTCGCAGGCCGATAGTTATATTTATAACAGGTAACAGGCTTGGTCAGGCTGACACATTTAAACACAGTCTTAGCCTTTTAAGACTAAAGCTCGGCTCGGCTCGACCCGTTAACACTCCTAATCACATGGTTTATTTTTTTTTTAACTCTTCAACTTAAAAAATTATTACTTGTCATGGTCCAGCTTATCTCTAAAGTAATCAAATAGTACATTTTCAAGCTTATGTGTATTTGTTCATTTTATTAGCAAGAATTTGTTTTTATTAAGACAGTGTGCATCATTTAATAATTACATAAAAAATATTTTGTCATTATATGTTGCTCAGAAAAGAAAAATAATTATTTGAATATATATTAATCAGATTATTAAATCAATTTTTTAATATTTTTTTTTATATATAAGTGATTTAATCAGCAACCTACTGATTCAACCAATGATACATTGATCTACTATTCCTACCATTGACCAGGTTGGATTTTATAACATCGATTGCAAACCTTAATTGTCATGATTTCTGATTTTTGTAATACTTGGCCATAATCGTAATCATTGCCTACAACTATGACATTTTTCTCATAATTTCATAAAAAGATATAATTGATAAATTTAGTTTGTTCATAATAAATTACACAATTAATTTTATTACGTCTTCATATAAATTTTCACTTTATATAATATAGATATTAAAAATTGTAAACAAAATGAAATGATTGTTACTTTCCTACATCATTAACAAAAATTAAAAAAAAAATCCAAAAAAACTATAAATGTAAGGGAATATATATGAATACCCACCGTCCTTAAGAATAAGTATAATCATCCCCTAATTTTATATAAAATAAAATTTTGAAGTCTTTCAGCATTACCTCCTCTCACTCGCCCAACTCTAAATAATTTAATGATTGTATTCCTTACAATATTGTATTAATTTTAAAATAAGACTTCTGGGAAGATGCAAAGCGGTTCATTTTATTAGTTTTAAGTATAATTATATAAATTTGTAATTGCTTTTTTTATTGGTACATTTATAATCGGTAGGAGTGGCAGTATGGGTTGAGACCGGCGGGTCAACCCGCCAACCCGTCAAAATGGGACGAGTTGAGTTGAGGTTTTTAACCCACCAACCCACATCAACCCGCCCTGCCTAGAAGTGGGTCAAAACGGGTTCAACCCGTCGCGGGGCGGGTTGACCCGCCGGATTATAATAAATTTTTTTTTTTTACAATTAGTTAGTATTTCATTAGTTCTTAAATTTTTGTGATATTCAAATTTTTTTTTTATCTTAGTACTTCCTAGAAAAAATAAAGAATAACATTTTTATTTATGACAAATGTTATCTATATATAAATTTTTAAAGAATGTTTGACAAATATTAGTATACATTTAAGATTGAGACTAAAAAAATATAGAGAAGTGTGAAATAAAATAAAATAATATTAGAAAAATTTATAAAATATAATTTATTTTTGAATTTTAATTAATTTTTTTTAATTGTCAACTTGCCAACCCGCCAACCCACCATAAAACGGGATGAGTTCATTTTTTCAACCCATATTGTTTGACGGGTCAACCCGCCCAGCCCCGTTTTTGGCGGGTTGGTGGCGGGTCGGGGCGGGTCAACCCAAATTGCCACCCCTAATAATCGGTGCTTTACTCTCTAGACATGTGCAATCACTGTAACGTATAATGTACTGACCCTTCAAAAAAAATTTAATTTGTTGTGTCTTCCAACACTTCAACACATATTGCAGTGACTCGAAGAAAAGCTTAAAGATTGCGTCGCGTTTTTAGTTTCAACTATTAAATTAGTTGAATTATGATTACCATTTTATTGAGTTTAATATAAAAATTTGTGATTACTTATATTTCTTTGTAAAAGTGATGGGTATTATAAGTTTAATTTTATTTTTTATTAAGTTATCGAATATTAAATATAATATATATTACATAAATTAAAAATATTATCTAATATCATAACGTGTTTTAATATCTCAAAATCTAATATTTTTTATAATTAATTTGTTGGAATGTTCTATTGTGTCATGCATCGTACATCAAGTCAGTGGCGATACTAGATAGACTGTGAGTCTGTGACTATTGGATCAAGAATTTTGGGAACAGTGACCAAAATGCCACGCTAACAGTAAAATTTCTCAAACTGCCACGCAACATAATTCGCTACACAGTGTAGCGAATTATGCATGCAAGTAATTCGCTATACAATATAGCGAAATATGCCACGTCAGAATGCACAGAACCAAAAAGTGTCATGTCTCATAATGTTGAAATTCGCTACATAGGGTAGCGAATTTCAACAAATTTGACACATGACACTTTTTGGTTCTGACGTGGCATATTTCGCTACACTGTGTAGCGAATTATTTGCATGCATAATTCGCTACACTGTGTAGCGAATTATGCCGCGTGGCAGTTTGGAAAATTTTACTGTTCACGTGGCATTCTGGTAATTTTTTTGTCAAAACGTGACAAAATGGTCACTCTCCCAGAATTTTGTTGATTTTAATCTAGTCATTTTTTTATTTGGAGTTCACTTGTATTCTTTTTTTTTTTTAAATAAAATTAAAAACAAGAACAGAGTACTAAGAGCCCGTTTGTTTGTACTTTTGAAAAAAGTAACTTTTATCTCTTCCTTATTTTAGAAGTCCTTTTTATAAAAGTTAAAGCTATTTATATTTTTATAAAAATATTTATATTTTTATAAAATATTTAAATTTTGAAAAAAATATTAAACTTTTGACTTTTGCTTTTTTTAGAAGTTAAAATTTTTAGCTTCAGAAAAAAGTAGGTTTTTGACTTTTTTTGTGACTTCTGCTTTTTTTTAAAAGCAGACATCCAAACGAACTAAAAATGAAAAGTGCTTTTTTTCAAAAAAAAAAGCAACTTCTGAAGAAAAAAAGCCCGTATTTTTTTTTTTTGAATACAAGTTACATAGTATTTTCTCACCAGCATAACTAGTCATAATAAATATTAGAGTAAATATTCATTTTGGTCCTAACAAAAAATATGGTCTAGTCCTTTACAAAAATAAATTAGTCAATTAGTCCCTAACAAATTCAAAGTGGACTCATTTAGTTGAAATCGTGGTCCCTCACAAATTCAAAAAAGATCCATATTAATCCCTTAAAAGGATTAAAATGGGTCCACTTTAAAATTGTTAAGGACTAATTGATTAATTTATTTTTGTAAGGGACTAAAGGGGAACCGTAATTTTGTGTTAGGGACAGAAAAAAAAAAAAAAGTGTTTACTCTGAATATTAAGGAGTATTGCGGCAGACCCCATTTTTTATTAGGCATTGCCATCGTTAACAGGATTTCAGGGAAAAAGGATTCCCAGTTGCGCTGCAATTCCTCACTCTGGTCAACTGGGGAAAAAACTGATATAAACGCTGCTTCAAAATAAAAACATGAATTCAAGTAGGGTGAAGAAGCTGTTGCATAATGTTAATTGCTCGCATCTCTCACTCTTCCAAGTTCGAAAACCCCCAATTTTTCTGCGATTCGGGACCGACATCTCTTCTCCATTGTCGATTCGCTTGCATTCACACTTCCCATGTATGTATTATTCTCATTTTGCACCCATTTCTTTTTTCTTTCTACATAAAAATACATATAATTACTTTGTGCCCTGTTCTATTCACTGCGCAGACGGGAACCCCAAACTTCCTCTCAAATGTGCACCGTTAAACTCTTCGGATTCCCTCGAACCCGATTCGCTCCCCATTCACCCTTCCGACCCGACCCAGGTACTTCCTCATCGTCTCACTCCACACCCATTTTTGAATTTTTTGCTACCACAATTAAAAATAAAATAAAATAAAAATTGTTTGCTGTTAGCTATAAACTCGTGACTTACATAAACTCTACATGTTATACTGTATTATTTTTATAATATGATAATTAAATGGTGTTATTACAGGCTCCTTGCCCTATCCATACTTGATCAGAAATTTCTATGTCTATGCATATGCTGCAGAACGTGCTGTCATATATTAATATTAGTACATTTTGCAGTTTTATTCTTTTCACTTTTTCCTTCAAGATTTAGAGCATGCAGGCTTCTTTCCTGTAATCAGGTTTAAGTTTTGAAATTTGTTCACGTAATCAAAACCGAAGTAACGTAGGGCATCTTTGTTTTTGGTTATTTTGTTTCTTTCCTCAGATGGTGAATCAAAATTCAATGTCTATTCTGAAGATTCTGAAGCAATCAAATTCATTTCTGCCTCATGCAGTCCTTGCTAGCACACTGCTAGCTCTAATCTTCCCACCTTCTTTAACATGGTTTACCAGCAGGTCTATGGATGTTCTGGTTGATAAAAAATATTGTTTTATGATTATTTGCATTTTTTGAGAACTTGAACTAGTCAGATGATTTGCAGCAATGAACTGGTTAATAATTCTAGCTCTAATCTAGAATTTCATGCTCTATCTCTTTCAACTGCAAAAGCAAAATGGAGTGTAATGGGGCAAACTACTGTACCTGTAATCCAAAATACAGACCGGACAATTTTTTTTTTTAATTTTTTAAATGATTTCAGCTACAAATTCATTATTATGTGATTTACTCGCAGATACTATGCACCTGCCCTAGGTTTTCTGATGTTTGCAGTTGGAGTTAATTCAAGTGAAAAGGACTTCCTTGAGGCATTTAACAGGCCAGCAGAAATTGCCACTGGTTATGTTGGCCAGTTTGTTGTGAAGCCTCTTCTTGGATATCTGTTTTGCATAATTTCAGCGACTGTATTTGGTCTACCGACAGCAATAGGTGAGAGTGGTCCGTCTTGATATTAGAAAGAGCTGTGGGATATACTTTCTAATTATTGGTGGTGGTAAAATGAATCAGGCGCAGGAATTGTATTGGTAGCTTGTGTTAGTGGAGCCCAGCTCTCAAATTATGCTACTTTTCTAACAGACCCACAAATGGCACCCTTAAGCATAGTTATGACATCACTGTCCACTGCTTCTGCGGTTTTTGTCACGCCACTCTTATTACTGTTGCTCATTGGGAAAAGACTGCCTGTAGATGTAAAAGGAATGGTGTTTAGCATTACACAGATTGTGGTGGCACCTATTACAGTTGGCCTGCTTCTAAACCGGTAATACGATACTTTCAGTTGAATTTATTAATAGTACTGTTTGCTTAAAAGATATCATCTTTCTTACATATTCGTTTTTACAGATTCTCTCCCCATATTTGTAATGCTATTCGACCATTTTTGCCTCCACTGTCGGTATTGGTTGCAGCTATTTGTGCTGGAGCACCTGTAGCTATTAACATTGAGTCTATTTATTCCCCCTTTGGCGTTGCTATCCTTTTTCTTGTTGTTGCCTTTCATTTGTCATCTTTTATAGCTGGTTATATCTTAAGTGGATTTGTCTTGCGTGATTCTCCTGATGTGAAGGCACTACAACGAACAATTTCCTTCGAGACAGGTACAAGTTTTTTTCCATTTTCTTCCATCACATGCCTGTTGTAGCATATTTTACTTGAGTAACTTCATTTATCCAACGGCAGGAATGCAAAGTAGCCTCCTTGCCCTGGCTCTTGCTAATAAGTTCTTCGAAGATCCAGTAGTGGGTATGCCTCCTGCAGTTTCTGTAAGTTCTCCACTCCGGTTAGATTCCAATTACTGTAATATATGTTGGCAATATAAATTGTCTTTACGTCTCTTCTCTTTTACATGTATGTGCTACTCTATGTACATTTGTGTCGGAACGAATGAATATATATATCATAGTAGTCAATAGCGGCGCCATTGTGCCGCAAGCCGCGCCAGTGGCACATTGCGGAGCTTCGTTGCAACCATCTGCGCCGCGCCGCACCAAATCGCAATAGCGGCCGTTGCGGCCGCATTTGCGGCCAAATCTCACCGCAATAGTGTCGTTTTATGGTTTTAACCCTAATCCACTCTCTCTTGTGCGTCTCTCTTCTGCCTCTCTTGCTTTCTTTATTGCGCTCGTTTCTTCCCTTCTCAACTTTTCTCTTATAATATTGAAGTTCAATGTGGAAGCCATGAACGAAGAAGCAAAGCTTCAAGTGAGAGAAAGAGTGAGAGAGAGAGAGAGATGACGGAGAAAAGGAGAAAAAGTGAGAGAAATAGTAAGAGAGAGAGAACAGATGAAGGAGAAAAAGAGAAGCTGTGAGAGAGAGAACAGATGAAAGAGAAAAAGTGAGAGAGAAAGAGATTCTGATCTATCTTTATTCAAAGAAAAGAAAAGTACATTTGTCAGAAAAGTGATTCACAAGTGTTATAGTAACAACGGGTAAAACTATTTCTATATCCCAAAAAAAAAAAATGTATCATTAAAAGGTAACTAAGGTAAAACACTAAAGTAACTAAGATAAATCTAGTAAATCATTAAAGTATAGTTACAACTAAAGGTAGTACAACTATATAGCTAAAGTTTGGACACTTATTACTAAGAGGTAACATGTTATTTTTAATTTTTTATTATTATTTATCTTTATTTTTTTTTTATTTGTATTTTTTTTATTATTTGCATTTTTTTTAGGTGTTATTATTTTTTTAATAATTTATTATGTTACACACACATATATATACATATAATTTATTTTTTTAATAAATATATTTTTTTCGCTATTTCCGCAACCACAACCCGCAATAACGCTATAAAGGTTTTGAGGGTTGGCCGCATCAGGCCGCAATCCGCAGTTGATAACTATGATTAGGGGTGTCAATATAGGTTATGACACGTGGGTCGACCTGCGACACGACACAAAAATTTGTGTTCGGGTTGACCCGTAAAGAAATTCGTGTCGTGTTCGTGTTGATGTATTCGTGTTCGTGTTGGCCTGTATTTTTATTTAATTTTTTTAATTATTATTATTATTATTATTTTTTAAAAAAAATTTAATTTTGAACCATTTTTTTAAATTTTTTTTTGTCAATTACCATTTGGACCCCTATTTTGCGTGTTATTCGTGCCGTGTCGTGTCAACCCGCAAAAATTTCGTGTTGTGTCAGTGTTGAAGATTTTGACACGAATAAAAATTCGTGTCGTGTTAGTGTTGATGTATTCGTGTCGTGTTAACCCGTTTTGACACCCCTAACTATGATATATATTTTTTTTAACAAAAGAAGAAGGGTGAGCTATAATTTTAATGCCTTCTCTGCATATTTATAGCAACGCAGCTGATTACTTCCTTGGTTCGGAAAATGCAAAGCTTTTGTATTTCGTCAAGAAAATAAAAGGCTTTAAATCATATGTAGTGTAAACAATATATTGTTGCATGCTAGTCTCCGTAGAGAAGTATAGCGCTGGTTAAAAATATTATTCTATTGCAATATAAGTAGCATATTTTGCTTGCAGACTGCAATTATGTCTTTGATGGGATTTGGTCTTGTCCTGATTTGGGCCAAAGGAGGAAAGAATGAGACAAAAAACAGCACTTGAAAAGTATGGATATAAGGGTATATACTGTACATTAGTCCATCGTGTTTCTTAGCCATCGTCAGTACTGATGAAGCTATCACAGGAGGGACCAACGACAGGCAGAGTGATATCACATTGCCTGTTTGATTTTTTTTTTCTTTTTTTGAAATTGTTTCAATTTTTCTCTACAAAAATATTTTAAGTTCTTTGATGAACTTTGTTCTGAGAGTAAGTTTTGAAAACTTGATGATGCTCCGGTGGTGGCAGCAACTCTAGCTATGACGAAAGCTACAACAGTGATGGTGGCAGCTCCGCTGGTGGCCGTGATTTAAAGTGAAGGCAAAGAATATGCGTGAATAAGAATATGAAAATAAAACCAATTCAAGAGTGTTCTCTTTTATCTAGTCTAAAAGCAAAATATGTAAGTAAGTTTCCAAAACAATCAGTCAAAGACTTAAGAAACATGTAACTTAAAACTAATTTCATGATCAGAAAACAAAGACCCCGTGTATCTTCTTGTTTAAGTGCCTGTTTGTTTTAGATTTTTGGCACCTCGAAAGCTAGTTTGCCATCAACGAAACTGAGTTCATCAGTAATCTGTTTTTGTTTATTCTAGTTTATTGGACCCACGATTGCACCCTAGTAAAACCAATTGATATTTCGAGCTTTGCTGTAGGGGCGATCCTTGAAATGCTGTGGGAAATGGATCCTCCACAATTTGAGAAAAACTACATGAAATCTTAATCATTAAAAATACTCTGTTGGAGGACAACATCAATCTGAATATAACTTAACAACTTTTAGAGTAAACACCATTTTTAGTCCCTGTTAATATCTACGAAGTCCTTTTTAGTCCCTGGCAATAAAAAAGGACCAAATTGGTCCCTTAAATTACAAAAAAAGGGTCATGTTAGTCCTTATGTCAACTCCCAAATATGTAAAGTGACTATTTTCTTGTACTTTCAGGGATCAATTTGGTCCTTTTTTATTGCTAGAAACTAAAAAGGACTTTGTAGATATTTCCAGGGACTAAAAAGGGTGTTTACTCCAACTTTTAACAGTGAAATGCATAATTGCTTCGCTTATGCTGTAAAGGGTTCTCATGTATTTGATTAATGATTCTAAGGTATAACTCATTTTATTTTATTTTTGGTGTGGCAAGGTATAACTCATTTTTATTTGAATTTGTATATCTAGTAACAGAAATAAGTTGTTTCGTCAAGAAAAATGAGTATGATAAGATAAAAAATTGGTATCCTTAATTATTATTATATGATCCTTGAAACTTTTTGTATTTCATTTTTTGAAAATAGCAAATAATGAGTTCAACTTATTTAACTAACCTTATTATTAAAGCCAAAAATATGTTCTATAGTGAGAACTTTAATTCTTTGTTTAAATTGTAAATTATACATTGTTAATCAAACTATTTTTGCTAAATATTTTGTAATAATTAAATCTTCCATAACTACTCTTGAGTAGGGGTGTAAATGAGCCGAACGGCTTGTCAAGGGCCCAAAGTTTGGTTTACTTTAAGTTTGGCTTGGCATGATTTGTTTAATAAATAGATCAGGCTCAAGCTTTAAAAAAGCTTGTTTAGCAAACAAGCTCAAGTTTAATTTAATGATGCTTGACTTGAAAGGCCGTGATCTGGCTCGATATATTATTATAATAAATAATATATTTTTATATCACTAAATTATTAACTCTATTTTTTATATCAAATTGCTCATATGAAGGTGTTGTTGGACTTTGGAGTAAGTGTTAAGTTTCCCTGGAGTAACATGATTATTAACCTTTGTTCCAATTTGAGGATAAGAATGATGGTGACATGAGATGAGATTCAATTGTTTGTCGGGTTTGTTTGGTTATTTTAACAAAGGTCATAGTAACTGTTATTTTTATTTTTTTTAATATTACAAACTGTTATTACTGAATTTTTTTAAAGGTGAGTAGTCTATATTACATATTTTTCTTAAAATATTATTCCACCACATTCTTTATTTCACGAGCTGGATTAATGTTTAAGAAGAAATTGCAGAACTCGTTATTCGATCTTAAAATATATGTGGACTGAGTAAGTTTTATGATTGTTTTTCTCTAACGAATGAATACATAATTTGATGCATTTATAGTCTCAACATTTGGACGTATGTGAGTTTGGGAAAAATATATTTTATAATTATAAATGAGTGAAGCCAAGCTCAAGCCAATTCTTTAATTTTTTACAAACAAGTCAAGTCAAGCCTAAAATTTAGCTCGTACAAAGTTAATAAGCCAAGCTTAAAATATTTTTCATTGGCTTAGCTCATTTAAGCTAAAGCTTAGTTCGGTTCAGCTCATTTACATCCCTACTCTTGAGTCTTGAATTGTAAATAAATTAGTCAAGTATATAATAAGAGCAACAATTAAAATAAAAAATACCGCTGGAAAATCGATCGATATTTACAAATTCGTTTTTAATAGTTTGAAAATGCAATGCAAGTGAACATCTCACATTGTAGCTGCTATTTAGGGGCGTAGCTCGGTTTGGTCCAATTTTTTATGTTGAATTGAAACGAATTGGTTTTAGTGTTTTGATTCTTATACCACAAAAAAGTAATTTTTGGTGTGATTTGGTTGAGCTCAATATCCTATTGGATTCTTTTAGATTTTTTTCATATCCATCCTCCCGATTATGATAGGGAAGTGGCACCATTATTTATTTTCAGAAAATAAAAATTTATAAGGTCTTCGTAGAAATATTTATTGAAATAAACTAAATAAACTAACAAGGAGCGTTTGATAAGGAGAAATATTTTTATTCTCGGGAATCATTCCCAGGAATATAATGAGAAAGTGAATTTTCATGAATATGATTAAAAAGTGGTTTGGTTTTGGTAGGTGATTATATTACTAAAAATGGTGACTCAAGTTTCGTGATTCTATGTTTGGTTGATTGTCAAATATTATTAGGAATTGGGGTGATTTTACAAAAATAATTTATTTCCTAGGAATCCAACACCCGATCGACATGGCTTAACATTTCCTGCGATGTACCCTTGTGATGTCATATCTTCAGCGACCCTTCTCGCCTCTCTAATTACCCTCTCACAAAACATATGCAATTTTAAATCAAATTCCTTTGTCACAAATTGTAACAATGAGATCAAATTCCTAGAAGAACAAATAAGAGGTCTCAAGGATTACAACGAGCGAGAGGTAACACGGTTAAGTAGAGATCTGTCTCGAATAGGGTTAAGAAAAGAGGGTTAAAATTGTCATAAAAATTATGTGATATTTTTTCACCAGGTGGAATCCAAGAATACCATCCTTTGATGGTATCCGTGGATGACATTCATCTTCATAAAATAAATTCCTGGGAATTTGATTTTTTTGAGAAAATTTTTACCATTTTTATATCAAATGTGAATAAATAAGATTATCAATGTCATTTTCCCCAAAAATTAAAATTTTCCCACATAGCAAACGCCCCTAACAACAATAAAGAATTTCGTTCCACCCCTCGGACGTCGTCATTCGTCAATACTATTAAAAGAAAGGAGAGGGAAGTGAAAGGATATATGTATTATCTGTAAGCATAATATTTATTAAAGCAATATAATTTCTAGCTTATTCCAATCCATAAAAGGTTTCCTCTAAGATTATGTTTAGTTTAGATTTTAGTAAAAGTATTTTAAAAAGAGCTGATGTTAAAAAAATAATTATGAAATAATAATGTTAAGAGAATTAATTTATATTTGAGAATGGCATTTTAAAAGAGATTATAGAAGAATTGATTTCGAATGGTATATGAAATAAAATTAATTTCAAAATAATATTATTCAAAATATATTTTACCTTTTACTTGCTTCACAGGTGCAAAATTTGTGAGCATGCAGTCCATTCTAGATTGCAAACCTTAAAAAGATATAACATTGCCTAGAGTGCAATGTTATATCTTTTTAATAATTGTCATTACCGTGTCATGATTTATGATTCTTGTAATAGTTGGCCATAGTCATAATCATTGCCTATAAGTATGACATTTTTGTAATAATTTCATAAAAAGATATAATTGATAAATTTAGTTTGTTAAAAATAAATTACACTCATTTAATTTTATTACATCTTCATATAAAATGTTCACATTATGTACTACAGATATTAAAAAATGTAAAAAATTATAAAACAAAATGATTGTGACTTCCCGATATCATTAAAAAAATTGAAATCTTCACGCTTATCGCGTGTCCCCCACTCAATACACACACACTGTCCGCTTTCCACTAACTTTGTTGTCTCTCTCTAATTATTGGGCATTGCCCGTCGATTTCATATAATTGTCGTTATTTCTGGAAAACGAATTTAGAAAAAAGGTGTCTGATAAGTATTAAGTAGCACGGGTATCATGCTTTCAAATAAAGAAACAAAGAAACCAATTGTGGTGCAGCTCCTCACTCTGATCAAGTGGACTTTTAACTAAAATAAACGATGCTTCAAGTTCTAAACATGAATTCAAGTAGAGTGAAGCAGTTGCATAATGTTAACTGTCCGCCGCATCTCTCACTCTTCCATGTTCGAAAACCCCCAATTCTACTGCAATGCAGAACCAACATCACTTCTCCATTCTCGATTCGTTTGTTGCATTCACACTCCCCATGTATGTAGTATACTCTCTCATTTTGGAACCTTTTCGTTTCTCTTTTCTAGATAATTATTTTGTGCTTGTTCCTGTTCAATTAACTAACTTAACAGACTGGAGCCTTAAGCTTCCTCTTAAATGTGCGTCGCTGGATTCTTCGGATTCCCTCGCACCCGATCATCCTCAGGTAAGTCCTCATCATCTCATTCCACAGTCCACACCCATTTCTTCATGTTATTTTTATTTTTCCATAATCATCCAAAAAAAAAAAAAAAAAAAAAATTAACATCGTCATATTCAAACAGAATTGTTTATTACAACCATTCGGACTGAAATTGTTTGCTACCAACTATAAACTTGTGACAAACATGAATTTTGTATAATATGGCAATTAATGGGTGTTAAATAATACATGCCTCATTTTATATTAGCCCTAAAGTATGGTGGCGAGCTGACACTGATAATTAGAACATAATAAAGTCTAGAATCTAGCTAGATACATGCATGGTCACTTTCGGCTTTGCTCATTTTCACTCCAATCAAGCTAGACTATAAATACATTCACTTTAGAAACATTAGGTTGAATGAAAATACATCCACGTTATGAAAAAAACAAGTAATATAGGGCATCTTTGTTTTTGATTTTTTTTTTTCCACAGATGGTGAAGCGAAACTCGATGTCTATTCTGAAGATTCTGAAGCAATCAAATTCACTTCTGCCTTATGTAGTCCTTGCTAGTATACTTCTAGCTCTAATCTACCCAAATTCTTTCACGTGGTTTACCAGCAGGTCTGTCCATGTTCTGGGCGAATTGGTTGATAAAAAAGATTATTTTCATGATTGCATTTTAGTGAACTTGAACAAGTCATGTGATTTACAGCAATGAAGGAACAATCCGTTGGCTCTCATCTAGAATTTCATGCTGCATCTCTTTAAACTGCAAATGCAAAATGGAATGTAATGGCGCAAATCAATGATATTTGAAATCCAAAATGCAACGTAGACAAAGAAATTTTTTTTGTTTAATTTTTTAAATGATTTTAGCCATAAATTCATTATTATGTGATTTAATTAATTGCAGATACTATGCACCGGCACTAGGTTTTTTGATGTTTGCAGTTGGTGTTAATTCAAGTGAAAAGGACTTCATTGAGGCATTTAACAGGCCGGCAGAAATTGTCACTGCTTATGTTGGCCAGTTTGTTGTGAAGCCTCTTCTTGGATATCTGCTTTGCATAATTTCAATAACTGTATTTGGTCTTCCAACAGCGATAGGTGAGGATGTCTTAATATATAGTAGAAAGAGCTCGTGGGGTGGGATATACATTTTAATTTTTGTAGGTAATATATGAATCAGGCGCAGGAATGCTATTGCTGGCCTGTGTTAGTGGAGCCCAGCTCTCCAGTTATGCTACTTTTCTATCAGACCCACAAATGGCACCTTTAAGCGTAGTTATGACATCACTGTCCACTGCTTCTGCGGTTTTTGTCACGCCACTCTTGTTACTGTTTCTCATTGGGAAAAGACTGCCAGTAGATGCTAAAGGAATGGTGTTTAGCATTACTCAGATTGTGGTGGCACCTATTACAGTTGGCTTGCTTCTTAATCGGTAATACTATAAAAATTTTGTTAATATTATTTAGTGTTTTGATAAAAAGGTGTTATCTATCTTACATATTCGTGTTTACAGCTTCTTTCCTCATATTTGTGATGCTATTCGACCATTTTTGCCTCCACTATCAGTAATGGTGGCAGCTCTCTCTGCTGGAGCACCACTTGCTCTTAACATTGAGTCTGTTAAATCCCCCTTTGGAGTTGCAATCTTGTTGCTCGTTGTTGCTTTTCATTTGTCATCTTTCATAGCTGGTTATATCCTTAGTGGATTTGTCTTGCGTGATTCTCCTGATGTGAAGGCACTGCAAAGAACAATTTCCTTTGAGACAGGTAAAAAGTTTCTCCATTTTCTTCCATCAAATGAATGCCCGTAGTAGTAGCATTTGTTACTTTATTAAACTTCATTTATCCATTGGCAGGAATGCAAAGTAGCCTCCTTGCCCTGGCTCTTGCTAATAAGTTCTTCGAAGATCCAGTAGTGGGTATGCCTTCTGCAATTTCTGTAAGTTCTCCACTTCGGTCTCTCTCCAATTACAGTCATATATGTTGGCACTTATGTCTCTTCTCTTTTACATGTATGTGTTACTCTATGTTCATTTGTGTCTGCATGAATGATACATGATTTTTTCCATTAAAAGTGTAAAGAATCCATTCAATTGAGTGCCATCTTAATTTTTATATTATTCTTTTAACACACTCTCTGTAAGAGTTTATTGGGTTTAAAGTGTAAATATTGTACATGTTCAATTTTTATTTTTAAAATTTTATCTTGTGCTTATCCAATTCTATTTGAAAGTGAGACAATAAAAATCGAATTCGTGATTTCATGATTACTGAAATTCTGATACCATATAAAGAATTAATTCCATCCAAAATCTTAAAGTACTGGATAAGAATTTTTTTAATGATTTATATTATTAAATGATACATAATTTTTTTCATTAAAAGCAACTGTAGTGTAATTGTGTAGACAATATATTGTTGGGTGACTAGTCTCCGTAGAGAAGTACAGAGCTGTTTAAAAATATTATTGTATTGCAGAATAAGTAGCTTATTTTGCTTGCAGTCTCCCCTTATGTCTTTGATGGGATTTTCTCTTGTCCTGATTTGGGCCAAAAGTAGAGGAAAAAGTAAGACAAAACAAAGCACCTGAAAGATATGGATATGGGGGTTATATACTGCACATTGGTCCATCATGTATCGCAGTCAGCATCCGTACTGCTGAAGCTGGCAAAGGGAGGGATATAAAATTATCTATTTATAATACTCTTTTTTTTAGACCCTCATCAATAAATCCCAGTTCATACGTAACGTCTGTGTATATTGAATGCACAATTGCGTCAAGCATCTATTGTTTATCTTATAATAGTCAACACTAATCTATTTGCAAAGTAATTATAGAATTTACAATTTTTTATTTGTGAATTCCAAAAAAAAAGAGGAATTTTTAGTTGTCAATTTTTTTTAATTTTATTTTTTTTGTAATTTACAATTTAAACCAAGAACTTAAGTCTTAACACAAAATAATAGAACACCCTCATAGGCTAAAAAATGAACTTAATTGAATAAAACGATCTTATTATTTACAACTTTTAAATTGAAGTAAATAAATTTAAAAAATCATATTATAATGTTTAAGGACACCAAAATTTTATTTTATCGTATTTATTTTTCTTGATAAAGTCACTTACGAATTCAAATAAAAATTAAGTTACACCTTTGAAAGTTGAAATTAGACTCATGTGTTTCAGGGAGGCTGAGACAACAAGTGCTACCCGCTACTAATATAAGTCACACAAGTCTCCAAAATCCGTAATTCATATAAATATTTCAGAAATACCTGGTAAGCACCACAAGGCATCAAAACATGATTCTATGTTAAATATTTCATACTTTGAGATTTGATAAATAACTAAGTCTAATACTTGGACTCAACAACAATTAATGATGAATCATAACATATGCCTTTTATAAAATCTTGCTTGCAGGCATAATATAGAACAACTTTAAAATATTATAGTCCATATGAACAATGTCTCATTCTATGTAGCACCGACACTGACTCGCGACAGGTGACACGATACGACACGACACTCCGATACGTTAATTTTAAAAAATGTTAAATTTCGACATGTTAGGACATGTTTTGATATTAAATAATATATTTAATTTATGTAGTATATATTATCTTTAATATTCAATAATTTAACAAAACAATGTATCTAAACTTATAATATTCATAAATTTTGCAAAGAAACGTAAGATATTCCAAATATTTATATTAAACTCAATAAAATGGTAATCGTAATCCAACGAATCTAACAGTTGGAACTAAAAATTCAACGCAATTTAACCTTTGAACCGTTTTTTGAATTTCAATAACGCGTGTTGGAGTGTCGGAGAGTCCGAGAATGTCGGACACGATACGTCAGGGTTTTTGAAGTGTCGGTGCTTCATAGGTCTCAATCTCACTAACAGTAGCTGTATCAAATTCCTTCTATTAATTTTAATAAGTGGAATGAGAAGTTATTTCTCTAACTTTTTTTCTAAGATATTTAAGAATGATTTGAGTGAATTTACATGTGACTGAACAATAATTACGCACTATAACAAAAATAGTACAAATGACATTGATTCATACCAAGAGAGAAAACAACAAATGTGCTCATTGGTTAGCTAAAACTGGGCAGACTAATAATCTCCATTTCAAGATTTTTAAAGATCCTCCTCCTCAGTTGATGGAACTTATAGTTGCTGATGCTAGAAATATGTCTAGCTTGTTAGTTTCTGATTTGTAATATCTTTCTGTTTCTGGGGCTTAGCCCCTCTTTATTTACAAAAAAAAAAAAACCTATAATTATAAACTCATGATTGGGGTGGATTTATAATTCAATGAGCAATGATTTTGAAGCATATTATTTTTTCACAAATATAAAAAGTTTGGATAATTGATTTAGGTATAATTTTAAAATAATATATTAAAAAAATTAGAATTATTGAACATACATAATTAATTTCAAAGAATTTAAATTTAAAATTTGAATTAATCGAATTTAAGAATAATATATATATTTTTAAAAAAATTAATTTAAAAATTAAGTCACTCTCAATTATAGTGTACTTTAATTTATTACATAAGAGTAAATGTTTAATATTTGAAAAAAAATATCAATAATTATTGGTTCAATTCATGATGAATTTGACCGTATAATTAGAGATCTCAAATTTGACAAAATTGAAGGAGAAATCTATAATAAAAAAAGAAGAAAAAATAAATTTTAATGTAAATTTCTTTAAAGAACTTAATTTGAGATTATAAATATATGGAAATTAAAAATAAATAAAAATATATTAGAAATGAATATAATTATTTTGAGAATTTAAAAAATTAAAATTTGAAAATTATTAATGTCTCAAGAGTTTTTAAAAATATTTGTTTAAAAATAATTGAATTAATTAAATAACTTTTTAGATTTTTTAAGGTGTACAGTACAACGTGATATCCTATAGAAATTTAGACGTGTTCTCGTAAATAATCCCATACCACCCCGTTGATATACATGTGTTCACGGTTCACCGTCAGGTTGGGCTGGGCTAGCTTCAATACAAAAGTTCCCCAAAGCTACATGGGCCACATCCTCAGAAGTCCAATATTTTTGTCATTTTTTTTTTATTTCAAATAGTTAATATATTTTTTTATTCAGATTAAAAAAAAAAAAATCAACAAAACTAAAGGTCCTTTCTCCGTGTGTTATCTGAATTCTGAAGAACTACGGTGGCTTGAAAACCAAGAGTCCAAGAGAGTAGCAGTTGCAGTTACCTACCGTCTCTGAAAAATCCAACGATGGCGGTGGCTACGTCATACTTAGTAAAACCTTTTTGTACTCCAAAAATCCCGTTTCCGTCGAATTCAAGACTCAGCAGCATTCGAATTGGATCTCGAAAGCCTCAGCCTCAACCTCAACCTCAAACCAAAGCGAAAGCGTGTGTGTTCCACTTCCTGAACTTTGTAGAACCCGTGTCATCACTGCCACTGCAGCTCCAGCTCCATGAACCCCCCAATGCTCTTTCTTTGCCGACGTGGGCCGTTCACGTTTCCAGTGTCGTTGAATGGTGACTTCACTTTCACTTTCTCCCCTGACAATGACATGATGATGCATTTTTCATTTTCCTTTACTTATTATACTCTTCATTGTTTGTTTTCTATCGAAAGGATTATAGCCATGGCTTTGGTGTGGCAATACGGGCAGAAATCAGGATTTCAAGCTTGGAAGGGGCTTTCTTGGGGTATGGTGAGTTCCTTTCTTTCTTTCTTTTTTTTTTTTTTTTAATTTGCAATTATTCTGTTCTCTATGGATATTTATTTATTCCGTTGCTATTCTTGCATCATCACTGTGAAGTGTGAGGTTCGCACAGCTCTTATTGTATCTTATCTGATTGTTCTAGGTACCTCTACTTGGTGGAGCATTTTGTGCATGCACATGGCATTTCTTTTATAACTCCGACTCCCTGGAGGTAACAAACATTTCTTATTTAGAAAAATGTTGAGTGACACGATTAATATTTATATCCGAAGTGGATGATCTTGTATAAAAGTGTGCATCACTTACTTTGTCACGAAACTGAAGATTTTGAGCCCAAAATGGCTTTCTTTTACTATTTTAATAACGTGCTGTTTGACATTTTGTTTGTGGCAGCAATGGCCACTTCACTCTGCATCGGAGACTATAATTTCTATGCTTTGCAAAATGCATGTCCGTCAACTAGTTTTAGACCTTATTTATGGTACCAATTCATTGACACTTTTAACTAGGACTTTTGGAGCTTAAGAGCCTGGAGTTATAAACTTGTATGCTTATCTTGCAAGTGTTGTTTTAAGAGAATTTCAGAACTCAACAACGACTATACACCGTTCTTTGTGGAAATATTCTTATGACTAATGCTTTGAGAACTGCATATATTAGGCTAAAGAGTACTGTTGCTTTTCAAATTGAAATATTTGAAAAAATTTATAATTTAGAAGAAATGTTTCTGAAAAGTAGGAAGTTGGTGTAAGTGGTGGACTTTTGTGGTTAATTTGATTTGACAAATTTCCCTCCTTATAGTTATAGTAAAAACAGAACAATTGGCTTTTGGGGAAAGTAAGAATTATAGACGACGTGAGAGATTACCCTTTCTACGATAGTGTAGAATGGTATAGATATTAGTAGCTACTTCTATGTTAATGATGATTTAGAATTTGTTATTTCTCTACAAATAAACTGAACACATGTACCAATGTACTACTACCATCTATACTTTTGGATTACTGAGTTGGCAATGTGAGATCCATCCTTATACATTACATAATGTCATCAATACTCTCTGGTATTGTTATGAAAAACTTCTTGTTGCATAACAATTATAGACATGTGGTCCTTCCATCTTGTAATAAAAATCTGATTGAATATGAATTAGGTTGAACATATGAAATGAATGGGGTTCTCTAATGAGTTATAGGTATTGGTGGCTCTTCAAGCGGCACTGACTGTTATAGGTAATGCCACAATGTGCATTGCTGCATACCGGATCTACAAATCATCTCGTGAAGGCTCCAAGAATTTTTGAATCGTTTGCATGTTGGTATCTCTCTCTGGAAGCAGTAGATATGCCTGAATGAAGGTCCTAGTCTTCTTCTGATTGATAAACTATCATTCATGGGAATCTTATGCGAAGAGCCTGCTGGTTTACCAAAATATTGAGTGACAAAGAAGGAATCCGTAAGATATACCTTTCCTCCTTAATCCTGCTTATTTCAGTCTCAATTGTTTCCAATTGTCTTCTATTAACAGGATAAACATGCTAGGAGATGCTTATTCTTTCTGAAAGTGGCTTTATCTGAGATTGAGGTCAATTCAAATTAGAATAACTTCTTAAGCCGTTTTAAGAGCTTGTGTACGATGAACGACCTCCATTGTCTAGCGTGCTTGTACATCAATTGTATGCATCTGAACTATTTCTAACTGTTCAGTATAGGGTAAAGAGTGTGCTATTTACTATGTAAATAATTTAATAATAGTAAGCGGTTACGATGCAACATAGGAGCGACTTTTCTTCGCTGTATTTCGTCAATTGGGTACTCAATGTTTAGATTAAACCACTCCCGTTAAACTCAATGTTTAGATTATTAATAAGATTAAGAAAACATAAACCGTTACCATATTTTTAATACTTAAGCAAAATAGTGGTAATTCTCCACTTCGTTTTATATATTTTTACTTTACACTTCTTTTATTGGAAGAAGGAAAAAGAGGAATTTACTTTTTCCTCTCTTTTTTCTCTTTTCTGTCTTTTTTTTTTTTTTTGTCTAAGGAATGTGTATTAGTAAAAAAAAAAAAATGAGGCATAAGAGTTACATTATTATTTAGAAAAACATCATTTTAGAATAGAGAAAAGTTCAAATACCCCCTGAACTTTGCCTCTTAATCACTTATTTCCTATGCTTATTTTTTTTATCATTTATCTCTGTTTTTTTTCATAGTCACTCCTTAACGATGTTAGAATTTTTAATTAATATGTGAGTTTTCCTTTAGAATATTACCTTGAGGGTGAAAAAATCATCTTTCCCTGTGAGTTTTCCTTTTTTTTAGATCTCTTCTTCATATTTGCACAATATTGAGGAGATGGAGGCTTTTTGACCCTTATGACCCTTAATTAATAATTAATTACCAAATTGCCCTTCATTCAAAACTATTTCGAAAATTTACCTTCCTCAACAAACATAATACCAATCTGCCCCTGTTTGACCGTTGACCACGAAGCCTACCCGGGTACACCATTACCTACCCGGGTAATTTTTGAAATTTTTTCATCTACCCGAGTATGTAGGAGTGTACCCGGGTAGAGTTCTTGAATTTGGGAAAATGGTTGAATTATTTACCCGGGTATGGATCAGTGTACCCGGGTAAATCGCGTCCAGAAACCCCAATATGTATGGGTTTCGGCCATTGTTGCGAGGTATAGGGTTTTTGAAACCCCAAATCTCTCTCTCTTACCCTCTCTAATCCGAAACATCACACATATTTCATCTCATCATTTCAGAAAGCTGAATCTTGGTGGGACATTGAGATTACATCTCCACACTCCCATTTTGTGCTCAAAAATCCGAACCAACTTCCAAACCCAAAACCTAGATCTAATTTTTGTGTGAAAGATGAGTTCAAGTCCAAACATGGTTCCTATAGTTATTTACTACAATGGGAGGCATTTTGAAGGTCCGAACGGTGTCCGATTTGAAGGAAAAACAAAAACGATGAAAATCAAAATGGGCACTACATGCAATGAACTGAAGGAGAGAATTCTTCAAAAAATGGGGTCAGAAGGCATACATTCCATCCACCGCATGATAGCCAGGTTAGAGACTGTAGTGGATATGGATACAATATACTACATTGGAAACGATATAAATGATGATGAAGATGTGGAGTTCGTAACAGATGCGTTTGTTGAATGGAAAGTATTAAAATATATTGAGATATATGTTGAAGTTGATGTTGGACAATCTTCATCTTTACCGGTGCATACAACCACTACTGCACACTGTACCGGTCAAGAAGATACAGTTGTACGATCTTCTGCACCTCCTCAGGTAGCATTGGATGAGGATGAAGAGGATGAAGACGAGGACTATGTGGACAGCGAAGATGAGGGAGAACCTAAAAGTGCTATTCCAGAAGGTGATTCGTCAGACACTGACGTGGACAGTAATTTTGAGGCTGACATGAGCGTCGTAAGTCTCGGTACCCCAGCCTTGTCACCACTTCATGTCGACCCAGTCAGTAGTGGTAAGTTATTAAATTTGAACATTTGCTTTAGACAATTTATTATTTGTGGTGGTATTCATTCAGACAAATGAGAGTTGATCTTTAGATGCAGAGTCTGAGGAGCCATTCTGGAATGAAAGCCAACATTATTCATTCATTAACTGGGCGCACCCTAATGACATCAACCTCAGCAACGCCATCATCATCGTCATCATCATCAAGGCCTACATCATAAACCATGAAAAACACATCTTATAAATACCACATTAAAAAATAAACAACACAAAATTGCATAAACTCATAAAGACCAACACATCACCTGCAGGTGCATCCTCCATCTCAGCATCGTGGTGGAATGGGATCTCAGGTGGTTCTGGTGCCTTCTTCCACGTCCAGATACCCGCTCTGTTCGGTAGGATCACACACTGCTTCAGGAGCCTCTCACCAAATATAGCATTCCAGCCTCTGGCGGTCTTCAAGGTCTCTGTTGCCATAGGCACTCCAAATCTATGCAGAATCTTCTGCACCAGAAATGCAAAAGGCAATTCAGCCTTCTTTGACTTGGCTGCCTTCCACATCAGTATGCATATGTAATGCCTCCAGTTCACCTGCTGACTGTGAAGGAGGGCCCACAGGATGACAAAGTCCCCTTCCAGCACCTTTAAGTGATTATGCGGGCGCTGAAAAATAATATGTGTCACCACATAATGAAGAATGCGAGCAGAAACTGACAAGTTGCTAACAGGATAATGAGCAAAATGACCGGGCTCAGCGTCTGCCCTCCTAGTCTCTGTAACAATGGTCTCCCGGTTATAATCACCAAATATATGATGGTTGTCTCCATCATATAGTGCTGCTCCTGTGACACCATCAAAATCAAACCCCAGTAGCTCCGTCCAGATAGGAGCAGTCATGATGATATCAATCCCGCAGACACGGGAAGTCAGCTCGCCTTGCGAGTAGCCAAGGTTCTGGTAGAAGGCTCTTACCATAACCTCCGAGTATGGGCACCGCATCTCCGCCAGGTGAAGTAAATGTGTCTGCTCAAGAAGCGGCACAATGTCAAAACGCTCTAGGTTGAAGAATGCCGAATCCAGTGATTTCGGTTCGCAGATCTTCCGGGTCATGAAAAACTTCACGAACTTCTCGTGTGAAGGTATGTCATCCTCAAACAAATATCCGAACGTCAAGTCCGGAGCCTGACTCGAAGCAGCCTGAGGCTGAGAGGATGACGACCCATCGTGACGACTCTTGGTTCTTCTCTCGGAATGGGTCACTGGCAGCTTTGAAACGCGTCGAGAGGTCATTGTGTCACACTATTAAACTGAAAAAATAACCAAAATCAGAAATTAGATACATGTTAGGGTTAGGGTTAGGGTTAGATTCGGGGTTATGGTTAGGGTTAGGGTAAGCGTATGACATACAAATTGATAAAATAATTCGGACAGAATCAAATGATATAAACGAAAATACAATGAATCAGAACAGAAATCATAATATAATTGAAAAAACTGAAAAAAAAATGCACCTTTGATCGGTTTCAATCGGTAGAATGCAGAGAGGTTGCAAGGTCCGCGAATGATGATCAGAAACAAGACGAATTGGTGCAAGATTATGCCTGAAATCACTCCTCCAGCAGCTCTACTCGGGTACCCCTTTTGTGGGTTTTCGAAATGGGGCTGCTGGGGTATTTTAAAACCCTACCGTCGATGTTTACCCGGGTACACTGCTCCATACCCGGGTAAATAATTCAACCATTTTCCCAGATTCAAGAACTCTACCCGGGTACACCCCTACATACTCGAGTAGATAAAAAGTTTCAAAAATTACCCGGGTAGGTAATGGTGTACCCGGGTAGGCTTCGTGGTCAACGGTCAAACAGGGGCAGATTGGTGTTATGTTTGTTGGGGAGGGTAAATTTTCGAAATAGTTTTGAATGAAGAGCAATTTGGTAATTAGTTATTAATTAAGGGTCATAAGGGTCAAAAAGCCGGAGATGGAAGAACAGTATCTGGACTCAGACCTACTAAAGACTTATTATGATTGAGATCCAACTCCAACTCTTGTCCCATTGATGAATTCAGAGCCTGCAAAATAGTGCAATACCATTAAGAAAAAAAAAACATAAATTAGTTTGTGGCAAGGCAACAAACACACAACTCCGGTTGACATAATGATTCGTGGCACCTATTACCTAGCAAGATTTATATCTCTGATGGCTACTAGTAAACTAATCTAAGAAGTAACAAGATGACAAGGGAAACCTTCCATTAAGGAATTTTTGTTAGACTTAAAAGCTAGAGGCAACATGATATTCCATATAAATTTGTTAAAATTATAGGGTTTTTAGGCATTGAGGGAGAAAGGAAAGAAGACCTGGTAATATTGTATGTTGATGTGATACGAAAGAGAAAGCTAACCTGTATTAAGATTGTAATGGACATAATAAAGGCCAACACTATAGAAGGATCTAGAAAGTCTAATGGCTAAAAGGGAATTAAGGAAAATTTCTTTAAATGTATTAATTTTAATACAACAGTAATGGATTAAGAGCTGGACCTCCAATATTCTTAAAATGCCCAACAGTTCACTCTTGCCAGATAATTCATCTATAAATAAGGGGTTAAATCAATAAGTTATGCACATTCTAAACTCTATCTTTTAATTATCACTGTGCACATACTTCACCCTTTGGCTATACCGTTTACTATAGTGCACAATGATCTCTAATGTTCTCTCCTATAGATACCTGAGAGAGGGCATATAAATCCAATATTAACATATTAGTCACAAGACTAGATATATCTATCTCTAGGATAGAACAAATATATAATCAATATATTATATGATATTTTCTAAATATTCGAAAAAAATTATATCGATACTTTGAGCGTAATAATAAGCTCTAATATTTTAGATGATGAGATGAAAATGATATTTCACAAAACAAATTGTTGATTGCAAGTAAGAAATGGTGCCTACACTACAGAACAGTTATCTACACTCTCCAAAAACATAAACAACCATTGTTGTAAAGGACGCATACCACCATTACAATAAAAAAAAAAACTTGAAAAGAACAAATTGATTCCGAGCACTGAAAAAGAAATGGATGAAGGTGCAAAGTTTTAAAAACCCGTTGCAGAGGTTAGGGAAGAAGATGACAAGATTGTTGAAGTGTCTTTTTGTAAGAAGAGTAGAATAGTCATATTAATTAGAAACTCTAACACTATCGAGAAGGGACTTGGATGAAAAAAAACATAAAAGAGTAAATGA